ATGAAATACTTTTTTCAATATCTCTAATTATTCTCAGAATTCATGTTTACAATGTATTTTTCTCATTTTTTGTTCGGTTGAGGAACATGGAAAACTCATTTTTTAAAGAAATATGTTCAGATTATCTTTTGTTTCATACAGAATCATTAGCTAAGGTTATCTTTGCATAAAACAATGCTCGTTGTGTGTTTAAAGCTATCTTATACATTTTCTATTCGTTATAACACAGTTAGGCTATTTTGACAGTTTTTAGATATACGGTTACCATGGAAACTGCCATTTTACAAGAAATCCAACACGTCAACATATATTTTTCTTTTTATTTTTAAATTCGTCATTAAATTTTACTCATCATACAAAAAAATTAGAAAATTCTATGAAAGGGTTAATTTTTCATAAAACTGTAGAAAATGTCTTTAAGGTAAAAAAACATTAAGAAGATGTGAAATATTAAAATATTTTCGGTGATTGATGAAAATGTACATACTCGTTTGGTTACATAAGACTGGTGTGATCGATGGATATAAAATTTATAATTCCAGTAATTTTCTATAAGGTCCTTATAATTTCCTTTTTTAAAAGTGTTGAACTGATGACTGAATGGGATCGCTACTTGCCCAACGATCCATATCCATAAATTTTCTAATATATCAAATTGTTATTGAATAATTTCTCCTTGAATGTTTTATAATCAAGTGTTTCTTTACTTGGAAGTGCATTCTTGCTTATCCAATCAAAACAGGTTGAATATAAACATGTTTCTGTTTTCTATGTTGTTTAACAGTTTTATTCAGTATTTTTTTGCTTGCTGTCCTAAATAATGTTTAAGTATAGTTAAATATTGTCCTAAAGGCTATATAAAATCAATGTTATTTAACTTAGCCTCAATAATCAAATCAAAATAAATCGAATAGATCTAGCATATCAATAATCAAGAATCAAATTGAGAGAAAGCTCAATAGTTACACCCTGACACAGGAACATTTATAATAAATCAGTGATAACAGAGACATAGATAACATCTATGTCTCTGGTGATAATAAATATATAACTATATGTTTGTCTTTTGATTCTAGGTTTATAAATCTAAAATATTAAAAATAAAGAAATGTTGGGGGCGGTGGTTTAGAAAATTTCTATCAAAAGGTCAATACAAATAAATGACAATTATTAGATCTAATTTGTTGGTAGAAAGTGTGTGTGGACGACCTGGTTCGGCACTGGTTGACCATTTGAAAGACAAATTTTAATACTTAAAAATCACTCAAGGAAGAAAACGAAAAAACTTAATAACATCCCCAAAGTGCATTGAATACAATTCCGTGAAAAAGAACATCAACCGTTTTAGCAGTACTGGTTTTAGTAATTTTTGCACAGACCACTCTAATCACGTACTCATGACAGCATTCCCCACCCACCTGTTTCAATGCGTCTATCAAAGCGAAAACGAACTATAGTACAAAGTAAGTGGACATGAAACCAAACCTTTCACCTGTAATAACGTTCAAAATATTAACAAATCTATTTAAACAACTGTTGTACAGATCTGTTATGGAAGAAATAATAAAATAAAACAAACAATTTCTGGCGGTTTTTTTGTCGTCTGATCTACAATGTGCTAAATCGTTAGGCGCTTTACGGAGATATCGATCGGAGCGTATTCTTTGTAAGCAAGCATCTGGCCGCTATGATTCGAATTTTTTTATTATTAATTTTTTTTTTCATGTAATTGAATTCATCATAATTTATTTCTGGATCTAGACATTTTAATATGGGGAGTGCATAAAATAATTCTAATAAAAAAAGATGATAATCACACCGGTTTATTTGCTAAGGGGGAGTAACCGCTGCCAGAAACCTCTGCTGCTCTTATAGTGTTTCAGCCAAAACACACGTGTTTTCAGGTTGACGGATGACAAGTATATATGAATTTTCCGACATAAATGATGTTTTTTTTCTCATTTTTTTTTACATGTGGCCTATTCACAACAGTTGCATGGCTTTAACCCATTCAATAATGTAAAATAATTTATTCATATATTCTAGGTTGTCCTGTGAAAACACCGCCGTTTTCTGGGCAGCGAGCCGAAAACATGAATAAAACATATGTTTTCACTGAAACGTATACAAAACATAAGCATTTAGTATGAAAACGTCGGTGTTTTAGTGTGAAACACTGGTAAAACACGCGTAGTGTTCCCAAAATTTACAATGTATTGGTGCCAGTCTTTATTTTCAAGAGAAATGCATGGAAACTGTAATTTTTATCAATGTATGTCATAAAGATACAATGTATCTAATGAGAACGTTTTGTTGTTTGCCACAATGACGGAAATACCGGAAGCATTGTGGCTGACTTCTGCCATTTCGTTTCTTCGCCCCTCAAAAGTCGATGGCTAAGAAACGGTGACACGATGATATGCTAGTACTACTTATGCTAATCGGCTAATCGAGTTTTGTGAAAGTCAAAGACACGAAAAATTGACCAATTACCGTGTTTTCGCCTTCAACCTTTGTGGGCGCTGACACGAAACATTTTAGGCAAAAACAGAATCAGTATAATTATCGTGTCGACTCAAAAAGCGAAAGTCGAAGACACGATAATTAATCAATTATTCGTGTCTTCGATTTTCGAGACAAAAACACGATGTATTATCGTGTCTTCAACAGTAAGGGGGTGGGGGCATGACCCGAAGACAAGTTAGCATATTATCTTGTCTTTGTGTCTTCGCCTTCGACTTTAGAGGGACACAAAATGGCAAAACAAGCCACCATACGAAATAGAGAAAATAAGAATCCCTAAAGAAAGCCCAACACGGCAAAATTGAAAATGTTGCAGGCTCGGTTTGATTGAGCATGTTCATGGACGGTACTGTAAAGTGCAAACACTTATTATCAGGAAACAAATGTGCATTCTAAAGGTTCTTTTTGAAAGCAATTACATTTGACAAACCATTTCATCGTTGGCGGTTGTATAAATATTTCATTCATATGGAAAAACTACATGAATATTATAATTTTTATATCTATTGATCACACCAGTCACTAATTTGACATAATACAGGCAAGATTAGTTTTTGTGTGCTTGGGATATATTCATGCGCATGAAATTACGTCAACGTTATCTGTGATTTAAAAAAAGAGTGTAAAATAACTTTTTGTTCAACAGAATTGAAATATCTAAGAAACTTTACTTGAAAGTGAAATAACTTAAGAATCTGAAAAAACTTATGATGAATGCTCATTTCTGAATCTCTTAGCCTTAGATTAATAAAAATTTTGACGCGTAATCCATTTCAAAAAGATCATTTATATTATTTTACTTATTTTAGAATGGCTAATGAGATTCCCAGATTTTATTTTGTAATTTTAAAATGATAAATGAAAATTTTATTTATATTCAATCCTTCTCTGTAAATTTTACAGGAAGTCAAACTGATTTTAGATGGCATCAGACCGAAAAAGTAGCATTTTTCGTACAGGTATATCAGTTTTTGTCCGTAAAATACGCATGTCTCTATCTCTTTTGTTTATATAATTCACCAAACTGATACACGGGGGTGGAACCCCATATGTATCTCAAAAATGAGCATCGGTAAAAATTATATGTGAATTTCAGCTGCACCAGATGTGAAGCATAACACCAGATGTGACTGTAAAAACAGGTCAATCGCAGGGTAAGTTTTCATCTTTTTAAACATTTATATAAAATTAAAAGCTTTTTTTAAGAAAATCGGAATGTGATTCTACCCTCCTGCCTTTCCTCTATATTTACCCATGTTTGTTTGGATTTTTATGCAGTCTTCATTGAGATTTTCATTCCATCATAGGTTCATGTGTGCCCAAAATATGCAATGCGTATGAAGAAAATGTTGCTAAACGGACTCCAAATTAAGAGTTTTCACAAAATCTTACAACCAAACGATGCATAACATTCAAACAAACCCTTATTGAAACATTTATATGTTATATTCGGTTCGGGCAATTTGTTTTTAAAGAAACGTAGTATTGAAGAATATTTTAAATTAGCTGAAATGTTCTTTGAAACTAAAACCTCAAAAATGGCCATTTTCATATATAAAATCGTTTTAAAATAACCATAATTTACTGTAATTTTTAATACTGTCATTGCTGATGCTGTCGGCATCATCGTCTGTCTGCATCCTCATCATCATTGTCATCACCATAGTTTGTCTGCAGCATCATTGTCATCATAATCATCATCGTCGTTATCACCATCACCATCACCGTCATCATCACCGGCATCATCATCAGCAGCATCATCACCGTCATCATCACCGTCATCATCACCATCGTCATCATTATCATCATCACCGTCACCATCATCATCATTACCAACATCATCAGCATCATCATCACCATCACTGTCATCATCATCAGCAGCATCATAATTATCATCACTATCTTTATTAATATTGTATCTTTGATATTGATGGTTTGTACAGCAATTGTTATCATCATTGTCATTTTGTTATTATTATGTTAAAGCATGTGTTAAACGTAAAAAGCATATCGTTTCATTGACATGCAAAATAAGTTAATGCATTTTTATGTCCACACCAAAGGGGGTGGGGCATGTAGATTTGTAATGCCCGTCCGTCCCGCTGTCACGCTTCCACACTGTCACGTTGTCCCGCTGCCACACTCACTGTCACGTTGTCCCGCTTCCAGACTGTCCCGTTGTCCCGCTGCCACACTGACACGTTGTCCCGCTGCCACACTGTCACATTGTCCCGCTACCACTTTCACGTTGTCCCGCTTCCATACTGTCAAGTTGTCCCGCTGTCACACTTTCACGTTGTCCCACTTCCACACTGTCACGCTGCCACACTGTCACGTCCCGCTTCCACACTGTCACGCTGCCACACTGTCACGTCCCGCTTCCACACTGTCACGTTGTGCGCTTCCACACTGTCACGCTGCCACACTGTCACGTCCCGCTTCCACACTGTCACGTTGTCCCGCTTCCACACTGTCACGCTGCCACACTGTCACGTCCCGCTTCCACACTGTCACGTTGTCCCACTTCCACACTGTCACGTTGTCCCGCTGCCACACTGTCACGTTGTCCCGCTTCCACACTGTCACGTTGTCCCGCGTCCACACTGTCACGTCCCGCTTCCACACTGTCACGTTGTCCCACTTCCACACTGTCACGCTGCCACACTGTCACGTCCCGCTTCCACACTGTCACGTTGTCCCGCTTCCACACTGTCACGTTGTCCCGCTGCCACACTTTCACGTTGTCCGTCCGTAGCCTGACATATCAACGGAATGCGGGGACATCTATTTCTAGTTACATAATGGAACAAAGTTCTAAAAACAAGATTTCAGACTTATTGTCTTTGTGAAATCAAATTTCATATGCACACACGAATCGGACAGATCAACGCACACGTCAACGGACAACACAGACGAAATCGTATGCATGAAAGTCTAGCCCTACTAATTGGTTGATATTTAGGGACTTTTAAAGCCGATTTAACAAATTAAATATGTTTCAGTTTATATGAAATACTACAATCAAATTTAGTCCAACAAATCCGTGCATAAAATATGATGAATTGTGCTCCTCTTGTGAAAAGCATGGAATTTGGCACAGTTGATACAATCCTTTTGATTTTAGCCTGGGATTGGAGAAAAAATAATTTTTTAAACACTTAGATTTATGAAAGTAATATTAACTGCATGCATTTAAATATTTTACAGTTGTTCTCTGTTTTTAACTGTTAAATATGTTCGGAAATTCTAATGTACAGTATGCATATATAACAATAGTCGTTTCCATGCTATTTCTCTGCAACTGCTGGATGTAATGTCAATAAAACTCAATACCAATAGGGATATGCGAAAATAGTGATATTGTTTCGGTCAGACCCTTCAATACAGAGTTATGGCACTTGGTTAGTTATGCAGTATGCATATAGAACAATAATCGTTTCATCGCTAACTACTGGCTGGAATTCAAATGACACTTCTTTGGAACAATCAATACATCAATACCAAGCGAAGATGCGCTTATCGTTGCCTTGTTCCGGTCAGACCTTCAACACAGAGTTATGGCCCTTGATTAGTTGTGCAGAATGCATATAGAGCAATATTGCTATTTCTTTGCAATTGCTGGATTTATTTCAACAAGACTTCACGGGAACCATCAATACGAAACGAAAAATTTGCATCTTCATTGGCGTGTCCCGTTAATACTTTTTTTTTACATGGAGTAAAGGCCCCTGTTATAGCCCTGAATTTTCAATCGTGAAATTTCTTATCAAAAGACTGGTTTATCAGTACTCGGCGGGTGATATAAATTCAACGACTTTTGCTTGTTGTCTTAGTTAGCTAATGTCTTGGTAGATTATTGTTAATTTGGGGCTATATAATTTCCAAGTGGACTAATTTAATGCTTTAGTGGGATAATATTTGGTAGGCTATCATCTGATAGGGTTTTTGTCCAAGTCGGTTATTGTCTTAGTGAGCTAATGTCTTGGTAGGGGCTTTTTGTCTCATTGGGCATTTGTCCTAGAAGGCTAAGATTTGTCTCGTTGGATATTGCCTTAGAGGGCTAATTTCTTTGTAAGCTATTGACTCAATGTGCTATTGTCCTAGTGGGCACATGTCTTGGTAGGCTTTTGTCTTATTGGGCTGATAAAGTATATACATGTAATTGATTTTTTTTTAAATTTTTTTTTTAAAATTAATCTCGATAATTCTAAACAATAAACTTAGTGACTTTATGCTTCAAATGAAAGAGGGAATGTAAAAATGTTTCCCATCTTTTTGATGTTAGCCTTTGTTGGCATCTTATTTTCTTATTTATGGTAAATTTCTTTCTTTTTTTATGGCAAAAAAGATTTGTTTTTTATCAAAATATCATGCTCTGAACAAAGAATTTTTTATCCTTTTGATTCCGTCTGTAAAGGGGCAATGGTCTCGTTGCAATAGAAAAACAAGAGCACCGCAAAAGCGGGGCAATATACGCACGAATGTAAATTTAATCAATTTATAGGAGTAATCAAAAATAATCTTTCAATTACGGTAGACATCAAATCAAGAAACTTGTCTGAAAATGTTCCAACTTAATTTTGTTTATTATACTATTTGACATGACATCCAAGATCATGGGAGACTGTAAGTGCATTATTCATTAAACTTTAATAGAAGTCTACTAGGCATTGCTTTATGCCAAGTATAGAGTTATTGTATTTATCCATAAAAGATAAGATGTGCCTTCCTATACCTTAGTCTACATAAAGCTAGTGATTCCTGGATCAGGGCCAGTCTTGACATGAGGGTCATGAATAATAACTTAAAGCGTAGTATATATAATTTTATAACGTAAAAAAATTATGCTAATGCCAAATATCTAAGCTCTGAGCATTGTATTTTTACAAAATTAAACAGAAATGTGTTTTCTCATACAAGACTATAACATCTTAGTGACCCCAGAGGCAAAGCATATATTGGCCCAAGGGGCTTGAGTTATACTAGTTTTGTAGAGATCAAAAAGGAAATACTACATGTCAAAAATCTAAAGTATAGTCTTGTAGTTTCACCAAAATTAGACTGAAATTTGTCTTCCTATACAAAATTATATTAACCAAGTGTCCTCCGTAGCGGGCCAAATATCGACACCAAGGGGCATGATTAATACTTATACTTTTGCGGTCAACAAAGTGATGCTATATGCTCTGTGCATCGGCGTTTCACACGTGTCAGATGTGTTTTTCCTATATAAGTCTACATAAATCAAGTGACTTCTGTGGCAGGGCCAATATTGAACCAAGGGGCATGTTTTATATCAATTTTGTTAAGGTCAATGTTACATGCTAAATATCAAACTACAATGTGTTTTCCTATATAAATCAAGTAATTACCGACAATTTTGATCTTAGGAAGCCCGAACATGTGTTATGCACATTGTCGCATTATAATTAATATTTCTGCATTTTTTAAATCCTTTTCATTGGTTCAAAAGATACAATGCAGACACAAAATTTTGAAATTGATACAAAATTACCTTGACCTGAGGAAGGTCAAATCTGAGCTGTGCACATCGTTTCAATATGTTTAACATTTCTGCCAGTTAGTTTCAATTTTCTTCAAACCGATTTATTAAGATACAGATCGGACACGAAAACTGCTAACAGACGACCAATTGCATAACATTATACATCGAATTGTTTTCGGGCGTATAATGATACATTTATCATGATTCTGCATAACTAAAAAGTTTACTTTGGTCTCTTATATACAGTGCAGTTGCATATAGACATATTTTTGATCTTCAATATGCTTTGCAGCTGAACATATATAGTTCACTTTGACCTATACTTTTTGCAGCCATATACCGAATCCACTATGGCCTATGATATAATGTGGATAGCTGCATATTTAAATCACTATTTCCTTATAGGCTATAGTCTTTAGTCTTGAAATATAAGTATCACTACCGTATCTCAGCACACACGTCTTGATGAACACGAAAGGAAATAAATTAAAACAATGCCAGTTAACCAAAATATTTAAACTAGTTTGTGCAAAATAATTACATTTAGATTTGACATATCAGCAAACTTCACAACATCCCCGGTGTACAAAGAAAACCACATAACTATTGTGCCTTATCATAGAATAGTGAAAAGAAAATTAATAAACATTTATGCTTTTATTTATTTATATGTTATCTTTATTACAACCCAAAGTTTTTTCTTCCTTATTGGATACACTGCACAAAAAACGGAAGTATACAAATTTGGTACATACATTATTTAAGATAAATTTAAAACAGGGAAAATTAATTTAAAAAAGTTTTAAAACTGATTGGGGAAAATTTTTTGGGATTTTAAACAATTAAAAGGGAAATAGGGGCTGCAGTTTGGGAAAATTAATACTATAGTTAAAAACATATTTAAAAAAAGGAAAAGCATATCCCCTAGGGGCGATTAGATCCCCCCCCCAAAAATTTGCACTTTCTTTTAATATACTATGAAACAAGGGAAAATTTTTCCAAGCATCTTGGGGATAATGATTTTTGGATGGTTAAACCCAAATTTAACATGCCCACCCAAAGGGGTACTTTGTAAAAATCTTTCCCAAATATAAAAGACTTTGGGTTTTAACGATTGAAAAAAGTTGTATAAAATCTTTCTAGTACCAGGTGATTGCCCTACGGGGCCCCTAATTAAAAGCAAAGTTAGAGGACCACAAAAGGTATGTACTTACAAAATATGAAATACATCGGTTAATGAATGATGTATGTCAGAGCAAAAGTGTAAACATCTATTTAATGACCAATGACCTTGACATCAGTGACACAGAACTCAGGGTCATCCAAACCATCTACATAGCAACCAAATATGGAAGATATCGGTGAATAAATGAAGATGCTTAGATAAACTGTGGGAAAGAACAACGAACTACGCGATGCGGGCGAACAAAGCGGCGACTATAAGCTTTCCTTTTGTTCGGGGAGCATAGAAACTCAAACAGAAACATGTATTTAAACGGCCATCAGGGCTCGAACAGTTCCTTTTATATCGGCCCGACAAACTGCACATTTAGTAAGTGCTGGTATACACTGGGGACAACTAACCATGTGGCCACATGGCAATGTTATTATGCAAGCAATAGCGTTAAAACAAATTTTACAAGTAATTGGCTCCTTCAATTGTCTGTTTAGTTCTTCTTCATCTTCTTCATCTGACTCAGACGTATCACCGTCAGTTTCTACATCTTCAGATTTTGCTTGTGAGTTATTTCCTAACTGCTCTTTTTCAACTTCTTCAATAGCAGCTATAAGTTCAACAGAATTGAAGGTTTTTGGACGTTCACCTTTTATCAACGATTTGATAGCTTTATTAATGATCTGTTCGTTAGTATAATACTGCTTTGCTGCAGTCACAGCTGCTTCGTTTCTCTTAATAGCTTCCTCCACAGTATCAACAAATTCCTTTGAATCGTCCACTTCAACATCCGAATCTTGATCGTTTTCCCCTAGAATTTTTCTAACATAAGCTTTACCTTTGCACTGAGCTACGTGTCCGCAATCAGGACTTGCTAGTATATGCTGTTCCCAAGGACAAGCGTCTTTCGGCCAGTCTTTTAGACCGATACTACAGTAATAACACCTCACAGAGTCGGCAACACCTGTATATGCAAGTCCGGCCCTCTGCTAGTTCTTTTTATCCCCGGTGTTTTATTCTTTAATCCAATTTTCATTTTCATATGATTTTATACGTGAGTTAGAGTACCATATTGTCTGTGTTTAGGTTTGCCTATCAATATACCAAGACTTTCACATTTTGAAGGCTGTCTAGTAGACCTTGGGATTGCGTCGCGTGGTCTTGAAGAATCACTGCTACTATCATGTTGGGTTGAATTACTTTGTCGAGTTCTTCTCCGAAAATAATTCGTGAGATGCTCTATTGTTTGGGTCCCATCTACCTCGACACCGGCCATTTAATAATTATGTAACTTTTCCAATGCTCTTTGTTAGCTGAATCGTTAAACATCTGTTTGACTTTTTTAATCTAAAATGTGAAAAACATGTTTAATAATTTCCTTAAAAACTAGCAAAATTGTTAAATGACTATAGCTAGATCTTCACTTAATAATATTACCTAAAGAGAAATAATACTCTTGCAAAAAATGTAAAAAAAATGTAAGAATTAGTAAGTTTTTGTAGGGATGTCAGTGTCAACTAAATCCAGTCGCTTTCTGAAAGTATTGTCTGGTCAGACTACATAGATGTACCAGCTTGCCTGGCTTTTAACTGGTGGTATAAGCATGACACAGATCTTAACATTCAAACACTGGAATTTCATTTATAATGTTGGTTAGAGATTGGAGAACCGCCTTATCGCCTAAATTGTGAAAAATATTCAGTTCATTATCAATTTGTATAAACCTGAAATTTGAAAGTTTGATGAATCAGAATGAAACCTTTCTTATTAGGATTTCTTTCTTTCTATTTAAAGTTTGCTTTTTCATTCTCATCAAATACTGTAAATTACAGGGATTCTTTAAATGTAGTTCATTTTATAAAAAGTATGTACAGAAATATACAGAGAAAAATTTTAATATCTTAATTTCACTTTCAATCTTGATTTAATTCTTATTTAAAGGTTATATTGAAACAGCAATTGGTGTTGTTTTTTTTTTTTTTTTTTGTTTTAAATATATTAATCATAATTTTAATTAAGAATGTGTCAAATAGTCTGACAAAAGTGACAATGGGGAAAGTCCTGTGTGTAGGCCTTTATATTATTTGATGTATGATAATGCACATTGATAAAACTAAAGAAAAGAAATAAATCTGTAACAAATTTTATATTACGTAAAAACTCCAATGCACTTGCAGAACCTAAATATAAAATCCCTAAAAAAAATATAAAAATGAGGTGCTGTTTTTAAAGTTTCTCTAAATTTTCGCAATAATAAATCAGGTACATATATATATATATATATATATATATATATATATATATATATATATATATATATATATATATATATATATATATATATATATATATATATATATATATATATATATATATATATATATATATATATATGTATATATATATTAATATACGTACCTGAATAAATCTATATTGATTGATACTGTAAAATATGAAACAGATCTACTTTTCCTGTGTAGTTCATTGAAAATATCAGGTACCATGATATTTGTCATAAGATTTAACAATATTAAGTCAATAAATACCTATGTAAATTAACACTTTTTTTCTTTCCAAAAGGGATAAGAGTGTTAGAAGAAAAGAGAGAGAGAGAGAGAAAAAACCCTTATGAGCTCTGAACCTAAGGCCTACTAAGTTTCAAAGCAGTTAACTGTAATTATAGCCTATTTGAATACTCTTCAAAGCGGATGTAAAAAAGGATGAAAATAGACCCACGAGTCGACACGTTTTGTTTTGTTTTTTCGTGCCACGGGAGATAACTCGAGCCATTTTTGAAGCTATTTTTTACATTCATTTTCCGATAAACGTAAACTGTAAAAAGAAAAAAAAAACTGCAATGTCTTTCAATCCAGGAAGGTTTTGAACTTTAGTCTGTCATCCATCCACTTTACCCAATAATAAATTTCGAGTTTTGTTCATCACCGGAGTTAAATACGTAAAGGCTTATATCAATCTATACATATCCCATCCTGTTTTCACCCGTCGTGTTTTTTTACATGATGATGATACATGTATAAACCCATCCTGTTTTCACATGTACATAACTAGTCAAGATCCCCGGCCTATATATACCTGAACGTAAAGACTATATTTGTGCAAAACACAATCAACTTATAGATTTACAAATGTTTGAATAAATATCTACAATTCAAAAGCAATCTACTCCTAACATATGTGACATCAGACACAATTATAGTTATAACTTATACGTAATTTTAAACATTCGATCATTATCAGATACAAAAAAAATCTGACCTATATTACGGGTCATTTAACTATTATTTATAGCACCTGAACATTACAGTTTTTATTAACCTTAAATCTTCATAATTTTCTAATATGGGAGTAAATAGTCTAACCTTTGTTCCTCCACTAAAATCCTCAGATACATTCAAATGTAGGAAATCCCTGAATGATCTTACGACTGTTTTGGTTTCCCAAATAATTCTATTTTTATTGTTTGTCACGTGATCAAAGCTATTTTTAAAAAAATCAGTGAAGCAAATCTGTTTCCCCGAGTCGACGGAAATCCGCGAGGTTTACCGATCGATCAAAGTGTACATGTATTTAGCCTATAGCTATGTCTCTGATACATGAAAACATAATTTTCTATCATATATAAAAAATCTCCCTATATATTTATAGATCTACTACATTTGGTCATTTATAATCCTAAATAGATTAAAAGATGTTTAGCTGTAATTTACTAATCGACTTTCCATGGCAACATCCAAAAATCTGTTATTTAAATTAAGTCTGCGTTATCATATATAAACAGATACTTTAGCATGGTAATGTCCACACACATATAAACAACACAGCACAAAAAACAACAACAACAAAAGAAAAAAAAAATAAAAAGAAAAAATTACAAAAAAAAAACAAGATCGACCAATCTCACCCTTATGAATTTAGCAATGTTTATAAACATCAACTAAATAAAAAGGCCTATTACGGCACAGGATATTTCACCACAAGTTTCTGATATTGGCGAAAATAACAAAATGAAAATGACTAACCTTTGTTCATCCATTTAAAATGTAGTAATGAGATTCATCACTCTGTCTTATGTGCCACCTGGCATGAAGAGGATAGGTAGGTAGGTAATGAGATTCATAAAACTATAAACTAATGGTTTTAGCTCATGTTAGATGCTTCTCATCTGTGGAAAATTGCATTGAATGTGAAATAATTTGTCATAAAAAGAAAGAAAATAAAGAAAAATATAAACAAAGAGGTATAAAATAATAAATCACTAAAATACAGTATTATCTGCCATAGAGCAACAGAAGCAAAAACAAAATCAGAAAATTGGCCAATTAGCAATTTTTTTTAAATCATTACAGCCAGGACACCTGAAAAATTGACAATTTTTAGTTAAAACAAAACAAACCCGTCCCGGCTCGTGAAAATATGTGGCATTTTATCATGTTTCGTGAAAATATATTCCATATATTATGAAAAACGAAAAAATAACCTTTTTATTTTATTTAATTATCAAAGAAAAATGGTTACGAACCCCTTTGCTTGCTGTACAGCGCGCAGTAATATAGATACGTCTTGTTTTGCACGCAATATTGGTGTTCGGATTTATTTTCTTAGTTAGACCATTTTCTATCATTCTAGATAGTTTTCAAAACGAAATTCAACAAAAATTTGTTTTGTATTTATCAGATTTTTCAAACAAAATGGCGAAAGAAGTCCCTTAAAATAAATATGAGTTTTGACTCCGCCCACTTAAAAAACTTTCATATTTATATTTCATATTTATTTTTAAAAAATAGATAATATATTTGACTGATATAGCACCATATTTCATGGGTAAAATTAAATAATTCTTGGTATAAATTGGCCTTTGTTGGACCGTATAATACGGTATATGTTTTTACCACGGAACGTATATATGTCACACGTGTGAGACATATTCGGCCGAATTAATCATGGCTGTCTTTATTCCAATTCGGTATTAAATACCTGGCCGTATATGTCACACAGTGCACAGTATATGTTTACACAGTAAACTAGAATAATCATCGTCATTTTAACCTACCTTTATCAACGTTAATAATACATCATCATCATCATCATCATCAACAACAACAACAACAACAACAACTTCACCATTAACATCAATGATACATCATCATCGTCATCATCGTAAATTAACCAATACAGTATATTTGTCCACACCGCCTTGCTTATTATTTTACCAGTATCAGATGAATACTGTGTTAATACACAGTGACGACTTTGTCGAAAATATGTGCTAAATATTTTGGATATTAATATTTATTGACTTGAAAATAAAAATATCAATTTTTATACCCCACCTCTGAAGGGGGGGGGCGGGGGATTTGAACTTTTGCTTGCCGATGCGACTCTGTCTGCGTACGTGCGTCTGTCCGTGCTGGAATCTTCAGTGTTGCACCATAAATAATTTAGTTAGGGTCATACAATTTTACATGAACGTTGGTCAGCATTATGTTATTGTGCACCTGGGGTTTCGCTTGTCGATTCGGCCATTCATTCCAGAGGTATTTGCCCTTGACTTAGTCAAATCGGAAATTGTCAACTTGTGTCACGTGTACCTTCAACAGTTTTTGAACTACGGGCATGGTCATGAAACTATGAATGTAGTTATTTGCCGTAATGCAGAGTTAGTGTCCTTCACTTAGTACAAGTTTGCAGTTTTTACTTGTGTCGAATGTAGCCTAAACAGTATTTGAGCTGACGAAAATTAATTTAAGTGGATATAAGTCATCATATGAAGTTGTGTACATTGGGTTTCGCTTGTCGATTTCCCGCATTTATGCCAGAGTTATTGCTAGCAATTTTCAACTTGTTATGCACATTGTTGAAAATAAACGGTATTGTGCAAAAAAAAAAACAAAAACAAAAACACACACACACATATGTGACGTATACGTTGGAATTTTCATTTTTATGTGCATTTTTTGGTAAGCGACAAAGACGTTTTGGTGAGTATAGAAAAACTCAATCCGACATTTTGAAATATAATGTGGATCTCGAAACTCTATACGTACAGGCGTTAGAAAACAAAGCAAAGTAAGAAAACATCTGTGACTACAACATGTACATTTTTGATTAATGAGATAATCAAAATTCCATTTTTCAGTTCCGTCGTACATGTGCTGGTATGTCTACGAGCTGTCGGAATGACCTTTTGAACTGTAATTCATCAGTATAGCCACGAGACTCAAACCAAATACCTGTAACACATGTTCCTATAAATACTTGTACTCGACCGCATAGATAGCTCAGTTATTCAACTTCCTGAGAAGAAATCATGTCAAAGTTAGCGCTTGTTTTTCTTCTGATATGTTGCATGGTAGTCGTGACGGAGGCAAGTCATCTTCTGCCCGACACTGATGATGAAATTGCTCGATGGGCCCTGGACGAGATAGGCTCCGGTTATGTACTGATCAATGTTAGGAGGATTAGGCAAAAGGTTTGCTGTATGTTACATATAACTTTTTAACTTGTTTCTTCTGGAAACTGGTTTTATTATTTTTAATTTATTAATGATAAAAGGAGTCAAACTGTTTCAATAATACTAGTATCAGTGTCTTAATAGATAAAATTTGAAAGTTATATATTTACGAAATCTTAATGCCAGGCCTGTTTTGATCTCTGTTATGTGCAATGAATTAAAATGTAAGCCTTTTAGAAATGTTTAGACATTTTAAAAATATCCTCATTTTTTTATTGGGATTCACTTATTCAGTAAAACATGCATACTGTTGATAAACTTTTTTTCCACCTAGCACGTAGACGGTACCCTTTATAATATGAAGTTGAAGGTCCGAGAATACAGACCCGGTGGAAGGGTGAGTGCTTTTAAAGCGTCTTAATTGTTTCCTTATATTTGTTATAAAAAAGATAATGATTTGATGGTTTGATAAGAACTAGGGGAAAAAAACAATACCATTGATTATACTGTAGGAATGAATTTAAACACATAATTAATACTTTTCATTTAAGTGCAATCATACAATTTAACTTTTTCATAAACACGACAATATTGTTTTTTAAATTAAATCACCGAACTTATGTTCTTAACAATTTGATCTATTTTTAGCGCACCAAAATTTTGACCTGTAGGGTGAAGGTCGTGGTCTTCAACAATCGTAGAACTCTCCTGTCTCACAGATGTTTCTCCTCCGGCTCTGGTAACAGTTAGAATATTTACCAAGTATTTTTTCACCAAAGTTCGATTCATTTATCTTTTTTTTCAAGGCTCATGTCTTCTTTTTCTGGTTTTCTGGACAAATTTAGCATTGCACATAATTTCGTTTTCGTTGACAAAAGCTGTTTCTATTAAATATTCTCAATTTCATCCGATGATTTCTTTTTTTCTTATCATTTTATAGGTCGAGGTCCATTTGATTCATCTGAAGGTTCATTTGATTCCTTGGGTTCAGCTGGTCCACACTAAGCAGCGTCTCAGTACTGATAGTTCTTCCGACATTCATTATTTTATGTCTATATGATCGGGTCTACAAATAAATTAATGTAAAATTCCAACTATCTTGTTGTTGTTTTTTTTTTTTTTTCGGGAAGTGCTGGAACTGGAAAGTCTGGTCCTTAGATGCAATGAATATTGCATTTAATCAAACGGCATATATCTGTTGGTGTTACTAGGCAAATTATGCTTCAGAAACGATTAATTTTTTACTATTTGAGAAGGGGCAAACATGAATAAAAATATTTAACATTGAAATCGTGGTTTAAGAGCACGTTAAATAGGTGCTTGATACCTGAAGAAAGTGGCGTTAAATGTAAATCATCGTCAGAGCCCACGGTAAACATTCCTTATTGGCGACCGCGCCGAAGCGCGGCGCCCTTATTGAATGAAAGGGCAATTGCAACTTCTCGAGCCTTTTCGTCGGCCATAATAGCCGAATATTCCGATTGTTGTGAGTGTTTGATTATCAAAAATGAAATGTCGCGATATGTAAAATGAATAGCAAACTGGATAATTTCGCGATGTAAACATATTCAAATGAAATTATCTTATCCGTCAATTAATCGCGCTCTTCGGTATTTTTATTAATCATTTTGTAGTACACAGCGGGTTATTATGTGTGTTATTGCTTTACCTATATACAGAATGATAACCTGAACATTGTGAAAGTCCGAAAATCTATTTATACTGGAACATACGATCCTTAGCTGTGTCATTGGATATCATGAATGATATCCTGTCATGGTGTCAATTGTTATTTGCACTTTTAAAGTCTTTTATTTCCTTATTTTTTGTATAATATTATTTCAATCTCAATTGCAGGTTTATCGAAGATTGAAAACTTTCCATCAGATGCTTTCTTCACAAATTTCTTCTTGCTTGAGAATACCAGTAATGATGAACAAGATACTGAGTGTAAGGTCACAAAAGATACCATGAATTTGTCGATTCAGATTGAAGGATTCAAATATGTATTCGTGTCACAGAGAAAATGAAGTTGGACCTACTTGTGCATTCATATATCTGATGAAACATTTTTTCAAAGCCGCATGCCTCCAGATTACCCAAAATATTTCAAAGAAATTACACTTGGAAAAAAACATACTAAAACTTTAAGAAAAAGTAAACAGATCAAAGATTCAAGTGATAATTTATATCTTATGTGCAATTAATGACTGTATATTGCAGTATTTATCACCATATTTATACTGCGTTACTAACGCAGTAGGGGCCATTCATGCACATTTTGACTTCTTTTTGGTAATTTATGTAGATTATAAGTGCTGATTTCAATGTGTCAAGTATTTTTTTTGTTCATTTCACAATATTTTTGTATTTGTATTCCAATTATGTTTACATTTGTACTGCTAATATTCATAAGATGAAATAAATATTTAAAAAAAAAATGTGTAATGTGTAATATATTGATAAAGTGTTTTTTTATCAACTAGGTAGTCCTTCATGCTGCCTAGCCTTTTAATAAAACGAGTAAAAAGAATTTTAATAAGTCAGTGGTTCAGTATAAAAAATCACAGATATATTGTCCACTGGTCTGATGCATATATATACATACAGAAATGTCACATGACAAATGGGTCGAAGCTGGAACTCTAACAATGGGTATGCAGGTTGATGACCAGTATGACGTGGCCATTGCAAATATGAATCTTAGTTGTTATACTATTTACAATTGAAAAAAGACCACAGTAAGAAACATTGCATAAAAAAAGTTTTTCTAACCTTTAACATTCTTAACTCCATGTTTATTCCTTAAATGTCCTCTTATACCCGATACAGAATTGTATGACTTATCACACTGATCACATACATAAGTTTTTCTTTTATCATCTTTAGATTTTACACTTATCTTATCCTCATCATCAGAATTTTCATATTCACTAGCTGTAAATTCACCAAGAAAAAAAATCTAAATCAATATCCTCAAAGAGAACAAAATCCGATTTTCCATATGCCATATTGCAGTGTATCAGTATGTATAAATTTCATATATGAACATTGCATCTTAAATGTTATCTTTTTATGAAAAATTTGAGTTATAATTTATAATTAAAAACTGTCATTCAATAGCATATTTCAAAAGGGCATTATTGTGTGAAGTAAGAAAACAATCTATTCAAAAATGAAGATTAAAGCTAAATAAGAACATAATTACAAATATATGTGAAAAATATGTTTTAAACATCAAAGATTATCAAAGGCCATGTTGAAAACAAACATGAATAAAACAAAGGTCAGACATTTTATTAAACCAAAAAATTATTACATGTTATAAACATGTTTATAACAGCTGTACACTTTAATTACATAAATAATAAGTCCCAATACAAAATAATTTCTATGTTTATTGACACCTTGACATAATTATATTCTATAATTAATATAAACCATGTAATTAAAGCTATAATTGAAATTTAATGATTAAGTTATTTCTGAATGTATTTTAATTACAAAACGTAAATTTTCTATCATAATTAAATATGGTAAATTACTTTTCTGTATCTGTTTCATATTTATTAATATTAATATTTTTAAAATTGATCGAATGAAAAAAGTATTTAAGAAACCAACAACCTTTTTTTCCTACTATTTTGATTGCCCACCTCCCAAAATCACCGGAAAATTTATGCACGGAATATATCCGATCAACCCGGCATGTACCGTGATTACGGCGTTTAAACACGGCGCTTATCGATCGATCGATTCCAATTGGACACCAACATTGGCACTGATAAGAAAGCGCGAGTGACATATCCCGTTATAGTACATCCCAGATTTATAGAAGTAGTTTTAGTTTACCGAAACGGTCATTCGTGTCGCAAGAACTGGAGAATTTTGCAGGAAATAAAATGCAAACATATTAAAACAATTTATTGCAATCTTTAAGTAGGCAATTTTTACGAATTGTTTTATCATAGTATTATCATTCTTCGTCTGCAATTTTAACATGAGTTGTTATGGGTTTATTGATAGGCATGTAAAACACTCTGATGGATCTGACTAGGTCATTTAAATAGTAGATTGACCTCCCAAATAAATCAATTAACAGATTTTGTCCATTTTGACTATTATGTTGTATGCTCCAAAGAAAATACCACATGAACTTGAAATTCTATCAAATAACCAATATTAATGATAATATCCAAAAATACCCCTATATAGTATAAATAAACTTATACCATATAGGGGATATATTTTGGATATTATAGACCTGTATATTTTGGATATTATCGTTAACATTGATAGAATTAAAGTTCCTGCGGAAAAAAACATTAAATATTCAAATCTCTAGCATGCCTACCAAAGTTCATGATGAACAATGTCTTTCGTCCGCCCATTCATAAATAATATACAATACTGGTTAAAACCAATTAACGATTGAAAAGTTTATAAGAATATCTGGTCATCGGATGTCTACTTGTTCATTTCATTTGCTGCATTTCTTGCTTGGACGCCCTTTGATGCTTTGCATCAATGCTTTTCTTGTATCAATTTGTCATTAAAGTAGCTTATCGCATGGGGCGGTGATGTTTCAAGAGACATGCTCTATTGACAATAACCCACAGTGCGATTTCTCAGATAACGCACACTTCTTTAGAAAAAGTGTGCTTTATTTCAAATAAAGCACAGTCATGTAAGTACACTTGGTTCACGAATAACCTTGACTGTAGACAAAAACACGAGAGGCCCGAACACGAGGAAAATTAAAAATTTTGTCTTTTAATAAATTTCATAAATATTCCATCTGTATATTTTAGATTCGATATAATATACCGATAGATCTAATGAAAATATTAATCATTTCATATTTCATAGTGAATGGCTCGCATATAATTATCATATTTTTTCTGCTTCAGCAGTCAATTTTAGGATAAATCATTTAGATTTTCAAATAGGATTAAAAATCTGTTCTGAATCCGTTTTAAAATTGCAGTAACTGGACATGAATTTGTATCAGATGGCTCTTCTTGTTAATTTGATTTTATTTGGACACATGCTTTCCCTTCTAGAGCGTAAACTGTGCGCTGGGTATATAGATTTTAATTATGGTAAACATGCGAAACAAAAATCATTCAAAAGTAAAATTTTATTTTGAATAAAACAACATACATAAAACCATCACTTAACAATAAATAGAACAAACGGATATGTTTAAAAAAACAGTTACATGAGCTAATTTCTACCAGATAAAATTAGAAACATTCTACCAGATTAAAACAACATTAACGAACCTCGATATAAGGTTCTCTATTCTATTTTCATTCTGGCAGTCAATGTGCTGGTTTAAATTGCATTTTATGCAGTAAGACCTATAGATGCATAAGCCACTTGTAACCTCGACCCCATTGATAACTTTCCGCAGTCCGCACTTTCTCTATAGTTTTGGCCGTCTCCCTCCCAGGAAAAAAGTGGCGAGGAAAAGGCGGAAATTTTACTGATTAATCTCAGATGGCATTCTTAACATTATTATATAATTCTTCTTGGGGTTGGCAGTCCTACAAATGACAGGTGCACTTTTCATTATGAATCAAACAATATTTCAACTATTTTCTTTTCATGATCACTTCTGAATATGAATTGTCATGTGGAACTTCAATTCAAAAGGTTGAGAAAAGGATTTTCCGCAGACTGAGCATGCGCAAAGCCTTTCACGTGCATGCGTTCTTCTCACGTGACTATCGTGCGCAGCGTGGGATGCAAATGCTTTTCCACAGTGCTTGCACTGAAAATAGAAGTAAAATTTTCAGACATGTATAATACTCTACTGTAAACATACTTTTGAGGATTTAACACAGAATAAAGCATTGCAACAAAAATGAATATATTTTGCCTTAAAATAAAGGTAAATAAATCTTAGTGGAGCATTTCATTAAATTTGAATTATGTCCCTTTTTGCTTATCTTTATTCGTTTTTATCGATTGCTGCTTAAGGGGCTTAAAAGGAATAACAGTTTTCATTTAATGAGATATTCTTTGTTCTTAAAGTCGACGCTTCTTTACTGATCTCAAAGTTTCACCCAATTAAGAGCTATGACACTTCATTTTAAAGCGATGATAAACACATCGATCCCATAGCAAAATGCAATCGCCAGTTACATCAGTATTATCATACTGAATCTTTTGACTATTATAACATCATCAATTTTTACCTTAAAGGGTTTTTCTCCAGAATGTTGCCTTATATGAGTCCGTAGAATACTTGAGGCAGTGAATGCTTTATTGCAGTAAACACATTTGTACGGTCGCTCTCCACTATGTACCTGAAACAAATTCAAACATGCATGTTGATTATGCTTTCTAACATATGATATTCGGCATTGTACCAAAATAATTATTGCACTCTATATTTAATTGCTTAAGCCATCGGAAAAATCAATCGGAATCCTTCTATGATTATTCATAACCATGTTCCGGAGTTTGACGGAAAGGACCGAAATGTTGCGACTGCGGAAAAGTTTGTAACACTCTGAAAACATTCAAATTTTCTTAAAACTTTTATGGTATGCTTTGTTATATTAACATGATAAATGTTAAACTGGCGGAAAATGCCGAGTCCTAGTACACTTGTATATTCCATTTACATATCTAATATTTATGTACTTTTTTTATTCATCCTTCGTATATGTCATTGAAACTTCTTTAATATATATAGCATTACTGTTGTGTAAAAGTTAGAATAACTTACTCTCATATGTTTGTTAAGACTTGATGACTGACTGAAACTTTTGTTACAGACGACACATTTATGAGGTCTGTGTTTCTCATGCACGTGCAGAATATGTATCCGGAGTCTGTCACGTTTCTCAAACGACCTGTAACAATGATTAAAGGAACGCTGTACTTAAATAACTTTTCAGTTCCCTAAATATATACAAATTCATGTGATGTATATGGATTTTATGGATTTTATTTCCGGAGAAGCTGTAAGGAGACAGCAGACACGTTAAGACGAAAGAATACGTCGGGAAAAATTTAAAACCGTAAGATTACAGTAAATGTTGCAAGAATTTTTTTATAAGTATTTTATTTTTAGATTGTTTTCCTTTACAGCAAGCTGATACAAATGGACTTGTGGTAAATGAAAATAAAAGTAATATTGGAAATCATTCTCCGAGATCAGAAGTCGTTTCTTGTACTTATAAAAAACAACAAACAAAAAAAACAATAAAAAACACAAAAAAAAAACAACTTCACAACTTAATTGGGGCGTCTTTGACCGAGTGGTTAAGGACGTTGACTTTCAAACCACTTGCCCCTCACCGCTATGTGTTTGAATCCCGACAGGGACTTTGGATTCTTTCATGCGAGGAAGCTATCCAGCTAGCTTACGGAACGTCGATGGTTCTACTAAGGTTCGTGTCTGAAATAATGCACGAAAGGGCACCTGAGGTTTTACTTCACCAGTAAATCTGGAACGGCGCATTATGACCTATGCTGTGCCGGTGTGACGTAAAACTCGATCAATCATAACTTAATTTAAAATATTGAATAATTTGCAGTTAAACTAGTATTAAAATATACCTTGTACATAAATGACAGGGGTACTTCCGGTCACCTTGATCCACACATCTGGTATATTTCAAATGTTTGTCCCTATAGTACTTGTATGCAAATACCTTACCACACCGCTCACACTGGTATCCTTCTGACGCTGAAATATAAAATACAGTTTATGTGAAATAATTACCATACACACTTTGCGCATGTGCAAAATATTACTTCCGTTGAAACGAATATTTCTAAATGTAAAACATCAGAAATAAGATATCATTTTAAATATATAAATTGTATTAGAGATTTCCGGTTTTTAGCTTGAAATATAATATGCAATTCCATATGAAATACATGTAAATACGTAGTAAATTAAAAAAAGGTTGCAGGCTAAATATTAGCAATGAAATTATAAATCTAACACTGCTAGGAAAAAACAACATAATAGATATCCATAGAAAACAGGGATAATTATACATTGCAACAACTATAAACAGTGATGTACGCAGTGTTAATGTCAACGGTAAAAGAACAAATAAGTATTTGATACGTTAAAAATGATTGCAAAAGGCGAACAAATCAAACATTTCTTTTAAATGATATACAGTAAGGACTAATTAACTGGACATAAATATAAAAACATGTATATTAGTGTATCATAGTAAAATTTGCAATGAATAATTGTTTTGCTACATTATAGTGCCACTATTTATTTGACTTACAATCCGCCTCCTCTTGCGCCTCGGAACTGTTTGTTTCCTTGAGGGATACAGGAACGCCCATAAACTGTAAATAGCTGTCCCCATACCATACCAATAGCTCGGTTTCCTTCGATATATCTTTACACACCTCATAATATACATCCCCCTCAACCTATAACAATAGAAGCTAGTTTAAATAATTGTTTAGAAGCTACCTCGGTTTACTCGAACTATCGATATCTCGAACTAGTTTACACGGGTCCATCGAGTAAGAGCGAACAAAGTTCGACTTAAGTGAAAATGGTTGATAAATATCATCAACCATTTGTTGATTTGCTTACAAGTAAATTAGGAGAAAAATGAACATCTTGTAAATATGTTCTCTTCTTTTGTAATATTCATAGCAACTTTGATTATTATAACGTTCTGATGGTCGATTTTTCAAATTACGCTAAAAAAGGAAATATAAAAAAATAACATCCGGCCAATAGGTCGACGAAAGCATCATAAAATGACTAAAATATTGTTGATACAAAATAATTAAGACAACCTGTAGAGCAATGAGGTTCTGTTCTTGCGCATATCTGGCACAGTTGACAAATGCCATCCAGTTCCCAGCATTCCGTCTACCGTCAACAAAATGACTCAACTTCCCGTCCTGAAAAATCTGTAGAGGGTGTCAACTAGTCAAACAATACTGCCAGAAACTTAAAACAAAATCATAGTTGGTAACCCAAAGTTTTCTTAATAAATTCACTAATACATATTTCTTACATTTGATGAAATATTTAGCCATCGTGTATTGATGTTTAACCGCGTGTGAAATGCAGTAATTCAAGAATAAAAAGAAATCAAAGTGAGAAAAGAAAAACAATGTCGACGAAATATTCCAACGTTGTCAATATGTTCGTTAAGTTGTGATTTCAGAATACTAACCATCGCAACTTCTCGGACATTTCCATCAAACTTTGGATAAGCATGGTTATGAAAAATGGTCGAGTTGTTCCAAATATAATACCATGGCAACCAAGTAAACTTACCTCCCACATGAGAGAGTTATCATCATTTGCCTTAATCTCACTAGTGTTGATGACGCGGCCTTTAAAAGGTCCGAACTTTGTACCTTTTGTAAGTACTGGCTTATTACAGAATACCCCATAGTGAACCGAGCCCGCCACCAACGTCTTCCTGATTACCAAGCCTGATAATGAAACAGTTTTGATGTAACAAACATTTCTTCTATATAAATTACAATTTTGCTTGTAGAGACCCGATTATTGCATGTACAGGAGCCAGATGTGGTGCATGCCTTGGTGTTCGTCTTACATGATTGAACTAATATTCAAACCTGAGAAGACGGATAACTTTCCTAACTAATGAAAATAAAACATTGCTTCAGTTGCTTGCGTTATATGATTTTAAGATAAACTTTTTTGACAGCCATCTTATAATCCTAAGTATTTCGAATAATTAATGCCTTGAAATCCCCGAAAATTGAAAATTAGATGCTATGTTTGACAGTTTCAAGATCAAAATAGGAAAACCCCTAATGTTCATATTAAGTAGGAAAGTGTGTAATAAAATTCAAATTTAGGTATCTTTTTTACAGAAAATACTCAGATTTTTCTAAAAACAATTTTCGTTGCCACGTACATCCCGATAAAATAAGTAGAATTCTTACCTTCTGGAAGGTCAAGGCCATCGATATCGACTGTTCGGGTGTCCTTTGTTGCAGTCAAATGTCCGTCTGTATGTGTGCTTAACAACATATCTGACCTAGAGACCGATATTCCTTGGTGTGCCGGTGGTGGGGTCGGGCTTTTCACTTCTGATTTTGTTGACAAGATTCTGTCAATACCTGAAATGACGTTATTTTTATGAATATATTCACTATCTATGTATTTCTATTAATTTCTTGCTAATATAATATATAATACATTATTCAACAAATTCTCAAATGTATATTGTTTCATCGCCTCCCGTTCTATCGTTGTTTTGCAATGATAATGAAAAAGACAAATTCCCAGACATTTTCGGTGTGTATCGAACTCGTAACTCCAATTCCATCTGAGTTTACGCCACAAAAACCAAATCAGTTCTATATTCGTCAGTCTTAAACCACACACTTGTATTGTTTAAAATGTGAATTTCTTTAAATCTAGCCCGAATATGATTTTTATGGTTTCTATAATTAGTATAGGGGTTGAAATTTACGAAAATAGAATTGATCTAGTTTTAAAGGCGTAACGGTTTGTATTGGGTTTCAAGTTCGATTTACACCCGATGAGTCTGTTGGTATTAGCAAAGAAGTTGTTCATTGTAAGCATATGTTTAAAATAATTATCTTTATGGTGTGTAATTGAATAGCAATTCAGAATTCAAATAATCATCTACTAGTATTTTATTTTTGATGTATTTCGGACAATTTATTTCCGAAGTTTCTGTTGTACCGGGTACAAATAGAAGACAACAATACTCCGCTTTGATCGGAGACGCTGACAAGCTCATAAGAGTTCATGTAATTCCCTACTCACTACAAGGTTAATGATGAGACAGAATTGACTCCTTTTTAAGTTTCAATATTTTGATGTTTTTGATGGCATTATTGGTCGAATCATATTGTGACAATACTATAACAATTATCTGGAGATATCTGGTACCAGACAATTCAAGTTGAGTATCTGTTTAACTACAAGCGCGTGTTTCCAATCATAATTCACTGCAAGGTCAAAAGGGGATATTTTCAAATTTTTTTTGCGGTGAGCGCTTGATTTTAATATTGAGTTGAATGTGAGTTTAGGGTCACGCGTTTGTCAGGTTTTATAAAACACTTCTGTTTGTATTATTTTTTTAAAGGAACCAATCAGTGTATGTCATGGCCTTATCTGCTCAAGACCAACTAAATGTCATCACTCTACATCTGCAAGTTCTTTAATTACTCTCAATAGTTTCTATGGTAATCAAATAAAACACGAGTTTAATACCGCGTGCGTAACACATGGCTTAAATAAGAGCTTCATTAACTGGTGAAAATCGCGCAAGTTCTTAAATCAACATTTACCATTGATTACTCGAGGCTTTAATTGACGTATTAACAACACTTGATAATCGTTCAAGTCCTAAAATGACTACACTTTATCGCGATTTTCTATTTGTCTAGCGACAAATAAGATTTTGTTACCCGCTACGGGTACTATTCAGATGACCTAATCATGTTAGCATTCGATTCAAGTGATATTGTCAAATAATGAAATAAAACTTGATGGCGAAATCCAATCTAGATACTCTCTAAACGGGAGGCGGAAAAATCAGTAATCAAATTCGTTTGTGCGCAGGCGTTAACCTTCGATCTCCGAACAGCCAATTAAACGTGAGAGATTAACGCGATGTGAGCTAAGTTTGTTAAGGAGGTGAGACAAGAACACTTTCTGTTGACCAGCAGTTACTTTGAGGACAATAATTATTGACTGTCTTAAATATCTTGTGAATTGATAAAAAGACAGGTCGCTCAACATATCGTACCTAATACGTAAAAAATTTTCTCTTTTAAATCCAAATTACACCACGCTCAGACATATTTTTTTTGCGTGAAAGAATAAGGACCGGGTTAAAAAGAACGTATACTTTTCTTTTACGCCTGACATACAGAGTTATGCTAGTGTAGCATATAGTTAATGAACATAAATTGATATAACTTGGTAAAAAGAAATAAAAGTAGAACAAAAATGAATGTTCAATGGCAATTCATTCAAACTATCAATTGCTAAATACACAAATACTGCAGAAGCAGTAGTATATTGGTAAATACTTTGTCGAAAAAAATGCAAGTTCTGTTGTTGTTTTTTTGTTTGTTTTTTTATTATTAGTTTTTTTGTTGTTGTTTTTTTTGCGGGTTAGAATTTCTTGTGGTCGTGGAAAAATGTTATATTCTACCCTGTAACAAAATAACCGAATAAATCAAATAAGTCAATAGAATAAAAGTAAATCATTCTCAAAATCTTGTATGTTTTTCCCCAAAAATGATTCACGTAGATGTAGCTATTTTTCCAACAAACTAGCCAATGCGCAGAAGGGAACATATACACGTCATACGGCGTTTGTAAGCCTGTAAAATCGTGAACAAGTTTGGTTATAAGAGGTCATGATCTTTATTAAGTGCCCATTCAATTTCAGGAGTAAATTGATTTAGTTTTCAACAATATTTTTCACAATGTTAGAAGAAAGTTAAGCCTGTTTTCTTTACATTAATTTTCTTCTTCAAATTGTTAGTGTTACTATTACATTTCACCGTGAAATCTTGTAGTAACTTATTTTATTAAAGGTTCGATTGAAATAAATATCTGGAATTTCTCCTTAATCCGATGCTAATCCGAAATTAGTGCTTTATCACCGAAATGTAAGTCTTACAACTTTGTGTTTCTTACAGAATTTCACCGGTCAAAGGATTATTAAAAGAAATTAATGAACAGCTAGCGTCAATATTTTGTCGGCAGATAAAGTATGAAAAATCAACATTGAAATGAATAAGGATCATATATTTCGGGTCTAATACCCTTCGAATTGTATACAGATATATGTAAATCAACAAGTTTTATTAGATTTTAGCGAATAATAGGTTCTTAAATAAACATTTAACAAAAGGTGGCGTACGGTAAGGAACGTAATCCGGAAAAAATCCGAACCCCCTTGGTCCGTAGAAAATAAATTATAGAGCCGTTAAATAAACATGCTTCTAGCACGAGGCGGCGTACTTTTATCTTTAGAATTTTAGATATATCCAGCGAAAATGAAACATTTATAGAAAAGATAAGATCCTGTACAATGCTTTAACTTTAAGTCTTACAGCACGCTTCAGACATTCGAAATGTATATATTTGACGACATTTTTTCCCGATCGCTATCATAGTTAAAGAATGTACATCATTTCTAAACGTATCAAAATATTTGTCTAAAATTTACAAATGCTCAATTAGAAACAAGTACTCTCTTTATAATTGAACTATTTTTATAACCAATTGAAATACATATGTTGATCATAGTTGGAAACAATTAAAAAGCCAGTGTTGAGAAAGTCTCCAATAATCTTTAATTGACTATGAATTAAAGAAAAAGAAAAATACCGACCAATCTGTGATACATAAAGCTATGATCATACATTCTTAGATCATACATATATATAAAGATTATTTTTCAGTGAGCTGGCTTGCCTCGGAAATCGTTAATAATAAGAGACTAAAAATAAACAATAAAAACAAGAACGACACCCGTCTCTCTCGCCAAAGTGAATACAAACTAAGAAAACTACATATTCATCGGTCACATATAAAAAAACATTTTTATACATTTGCCAATCAGGAGTCAAACTTACAAATTTCGAAGACCAAACTATTTTATTCTTTTTAATTGGTATTTTATGATTTCTAGTTCTGACAGAATAACTGTCCCAGGTTAAGTACATTTACTTTTAACCGTTTTGTAAATTATTTTAAGCAACACTTCGTGGCTTACGGCACAGGTGGGTTCATTTTCACTGTAAGACCAATTAGCCTACTAAATTTCCAGGGTTCCTAATTTGAGACCACCATTATATACCCCTACAGCATAATCATCGTTTGTTTTGTAATTCATAGTTACTTTTCACTGCGCCTTTTTATTGTCTCAGTCACGTGGAAGCGGTCACAATTAGTAAATACACGTTTGTCTATAATTGTAAATCAAATAGAGTAATTTAGAAAAGCTTTTACCTTTTATTTAATCTGCCCATCGCAAACTTTGTCACTATCAGTACTTAGATCACGTTAATTGTGCCAATGTTTAATTTACTTTTTTTTCGATCTTTGGAAAATGAAGAAGTGTTGAGCGGATATAACATAAAGTATAAACGTGAAATATTACGCCTAATGGCCTCAGAGCAAATAGTCTACGAACATACAAAAAAATCTTTTCCAAACACTTTGGGCGATATACTAAAGAGATAGAGAGCTTCAGTGTTTGTTGATGCAAATATAAAACTTCTATTTTTGATAATTTTCTCATTTAGATATAAGGGTCATATTTCGCCCCACAAGACGTTGGCTCTTACACAAGAAGAAAACAGATTTTTGTATGTTTACATAGGTGGTATAATATCATTTTAAGTGTAGTTTAACACGACTTAACGCTAGCTGTATGGTTGCAAGGGTACGATGCCTGTATAAACACTTAAAGTATAATACAAATCTTTGGTCTATGCTAACAGATGTCTGTCAACGCAGTTTGACAACAAGAAAAAAATGTATAGATTGTCATACTGGCTATTTCAATGTACATAGAAATTGTTCAATAAAGTGCGGCATTTTTAATAAACACTAAATTTTGTTCAACTTCTTCCGCTGTCCAGAATATCTGAATGACTGGCGATTTTAACGGAAATATTCCGAACATCATAAACCAATCTAAATACATTTACACTAGTATCACATAAGTCATGTCTGTTATTATAGACGATAATAAGTGATCTCTAAATACTAAACAAAATTGCCGTCCAAATGTCCAAAAATCACCATCAGCGACATAACCCTCTTTTTTGTAAATCTCCTTTGACAGCATGGTGTAACATAAAATTATGGTTTATGAAATTATACATGTTTAATTAATACTTTTTTATCAACAGAAAATTGCATAGCAATTATAAATATACTTGTATACTTAAAAGTGTGATGATCTCCAATGGGCGCATTTTTGATAAGTATTTCAATTGATGAAAACAATCGCAATATCTTTTGATTTTTTTTAATGAAAAATATCTGGAAAAGACTTCTTAAGGGGTTAAGTATGTTCGAAAAATAATATAGTGTTTACTACAATTTATCATATGGTATAAATTTATATATCATATCGGATCATGTAGCTAACACCTAAACCATCCATATATCATTCTTTCGCAGTCTGTTTTCTTGTATTATACTAAATACTATGAACGTAATTATTTATGGTATTATAGACATTCCATCAAAGACCAATTGTCTTTAAATGGATAAATTTTGTTGTTAATTTTGTGACTTAATGCATTGTTTTCATTACACATACCATAGCTCAAGTCTCCAGACCGCAATCCGGACAAAGCATGACGGCTTTTATCGTCTTCCTTGTTCTTTGTGTAGCCATAGAGAACCATGTCAACTTCCTTCTGACTGAAGTTCAATGTCGGGAAACTGAGTCCTAGCGGCGGGTAAAATCTAGGTGTCAGTAAGCCGGGGCTCATCGGTGATGGACATATCGACTGCGCATGTGAAGACGGAACCGGAAGTAGATTTTGGTATTGTTGAAATGGGAAGCCAAAGGGTAAAACTTGTTGTGGGAGACGATAATCTTCAAATGAAAACCTGAAAATGAATGTAATATTCAGAGTTGAATTTGTACTTGTACCTATAAGCATATACAAGAATGAGTTTCTAAAGAAAGCATTCATTTTCTAAGTGACTCACGAATGCTAAGATATTTTTTACTGAATGTAACATAAACCTTTATTGAAGCCCATGTGAAAACGCAAATGGACTTAAATCCTTAAACTTATTTTTAATTTAAAAACATTTGTAAAATATATTCATTATTTTCGTGACATTATTAATCAACAAAACAAAAAAAACCACGACAGTTTACCTTTATATCTTATTAAATAGTCTCATATATGTACACAATCCCTTTCAAAACATAAATACAAACATATAATAAAATTATATATTGCATTGACATTTTTTTTATAAAAATCATGAGAAACTTTCACATATATGCATGGTTGGAGATTTACACAAATGGGATAAAACCGTAAAAATACACATTTATATTGTATAATATTCATTATAAAGAAGCATTCCTCCAAACACATGCTAATGTTCATAAAAAAATTGAAAATATATTTAAATAAAGTGAAGAAAGCAAAGACAGAAAAATCAACTTCAACGAATTACCAGAAGATAGATCATATAGACATACAGATATACGAAAGTTAGCAACACTGGTAGAATTATGTGATACAACCGCCAAATCAATGGCATAGATATATATACATACAATATATATATATATATATATATATATATATACAATATATTTTTTCACTAATATGAATGAAATAATTTTTTTAACATAAAATGATAACTAGCCATTCTTTGATCTTTCTAATAATTTGTCAAATTTCTTCTTTATTTCTGAAAATACCTCATGTCATTTTGCCTATGCCTTAGGAATGAAAAAACTTTTTTTCCTATTGTCGGATTTTCTAATTTCCATATACATGTATACATATGTTGAAAATATTTAAGTGTATAAAGCTCTATCTAATATATTTTTATATAGTATTTTTTATAAAATACAAACAGTAACATTACGTTGTTTAAATAATACTATGGTCGATTTTCGAAAAAGTTGTAACACAAATGTACATTGTACATCGACAAAATAAGATATTCTGGAACAAAATACTATGCTGCCATTTTAATTATAAGTAGCGTTTTAACCGTTTAGCAATGATTTCCAGCGTGCGCCATTCGCTCGTTAGGACTATACAAACATATTTCTTTCAAAAAGATATTTTTGAATAATTTCTTTTTCAAAATTCAACCAAAAATTTATTAAACTTCCGTTAGCAGATATATAGCTTTATACACTTTAAAATAATAGATATATTTTTTTGAATGCTCGGGCAAATGAAAAGAAAAAATGTAAATTGACTGAAAAGTTTAAATCATTAATCAAAAAAAGAATGAAACTTTATACACTTATGAATGTCTTGAAATAATTATATTGTAGAAAAAATAATAAAATGATAAAAGATAAGCTTTTTTTATTTTCTCCAAGAATGAAGAGATGCTTGTAATATAAATAACAAATACATTAAAATATTATCCAACTGAATAAGAAAAAAAAAACAACAAAAACAAAACCACGCACATACAACATTTTAAGTATATACATGTACTGTATATACGAGTAGATGTATATCAAAACTATACATGTTTAACAATTTACAATCAATTATGTTGCGATCATATTTTGTATAAGAATAAACTTCATAATTATCATCGAACATTAATATTAATCTAAATTCCATTGCGAAAAAATCTGACTGTAAGACAAGAACTTGGACTTTTAATTATCGGTTAGTTTTCTGGTGGTAAGAGATTCTATCCATGCGACTTGTACAGACCAAATCCATGCTCTCTGATCCTGGTCTGCACTGTGCATTATGAAAAATTTTGAGGTCCCACCTGAGTAACCCCGTTTATTTTCCTCTTTGTACCTTACATCTTCAATATGCAATGTATATATTACATAATAATTGTAATAATAATTGTAAATATATGTTTTAAAATTTTCCCTTTTAAATAAATAATGGTTGCGTCCATAATGAAAGATGGATAAGTCAATTTAAGATATTTATGTGTGGCATGGGTTAATAGTTAGTACCGGTATATATTTTTTTTTTCTGGCGAGACGTTGGTCATTCTGTTTTCTTACATTTAGATGTTTATTTTTCTAACTACATTTAACCTTTGCCATGAAGCATTAAAAGTACTAGTAACAGAGACATAGATAACATCTATGTCTTTGTAGTTCAGATACTATTTTCAAACTCTCTATTACTTGATAATAAAATATTTTAATGTTCATGTAATATATGTGTTACCAAATAAGTGCTTGTTTTTCTCAGTATAAATATTTTCAACTCCGAAGTCATGGATAAAAGTAAAACCGGTTACTTTTAAAACTTTTAAAAGTAGTGTATTTTTGTAATTTTTTTTTCAAAATAAAATGGTTATATTTGCAATAAAATTAGTAAATGTTACTAAATTTGAAGACATAATATATTTTCTTTGAAATAAATATTGTATTGAAGTTTTGAATATTTGAATAGCTAAGATTTTAGGAAGAGAAAAAAAACAAAGGAATCATTAGAATTTGAATATTTTAAATTTTAAATCTTAAGTCTTTTATCAAAAACTTTGTAACATAATTATATTGTTTAAATATCTAAAACACACTTAACTTCCTAACTTATTAAAATGTCAGTATGACAACATTATGATCATATTACAAACATACAATTATTTAATTGAAAAGTTTTTTTTTCGCGAATCTTAGTCTTCAGTGTTGTTAACAAGAAAATCAATCATAAATTATTGTTACTGTGGTAGAAAAGAAAATCAAAATGCATATTTCTAATATATTATCATGTTGGTATAATTAACCTTGCCACGCTAAAGAACTTAAAATTTTCAATGAATCTGCTCAAAATCATTTGTCGTCATTTTTAGTGATAGTTTCGAAATATATTTAGTGGCTAGTAATCTAATGATTCGCTATCCGCATGGGTTCAAACCCCGTCAGTGGCAAGTCGTTGTTTCCTTGAGCAAGAAACTTTTCAGTCATTGCTCAGTACTGGTTGTTCAAGGAACGGATTCGAAAGTGTGTCTATAAGCTTAGAGCTTCATATACAATCGAACTAAAATGTATTCTGTATAAACCAAATTAATTCTAACAGGATAGCGTAGCGAACAGTGTGGACCACTGTTCCGATGTGCATGTTGATCTTGGTCTGCACTGGTTGCATGGGTAGATCTTTCTGTTGCCGCCAGCAGGCTATTGTTAACCAAGTATCCCGAAGACTACGTTTATAAAATGTACTACAATTTAATAAACTTACAAAAAGAAATAAATACGTCTATAAAATGAATTACTTACCCTTGTATGCCATTTAGTGGTGCCCTAAACCGCTCCTGGAACAGCTGAAGAAAATTTGCTTGCATTTTAACTGTTCACGACGGAAAATGTTGATGTTCACACCTTATGATTAGAGCTGTTTTAATAATTGACGATTCAAAATATTACTTTATTTTGTCTGATAAGCATTTAATCCATTTTTAAGTGTAATCATTGACTTATTAGTCTTATTCTTTCTTTCTTTATTTCTTTACTTATTTATTTCTCTATTTTTTGTAACAAAACTTTGTATCTTTAATATTTCGAGTTATTTGACAGGGAATTTGAAGATGATGGGGTTTTTATTGCCGAAAATCTTTGCTATTTGATAGTGATAATTGATTGGCAAACGTTAAACAACTATTTGTACAATAGGAACTTAATATTTGCCTTTCATTCGCTATATTTTCAATATAATTTCGTTTGCGCAGGCGCATCTGGAGGTGAATTAGGAAAAGAAATAGCCTCAGGGGGAGAGAGAGAGAGAGAGAGAGAGAAGAGAGAGAGAGTAGAGAGATTGAGGAAAAAAAACTTTTTTCAAACAACAAAAAACCCAACCCCCCCGAAAAATATTAAAAACAATTTTTTTGTTTGTTCCTCCCCCCCAGGCGGCTGAATAAAAAAACCAAAAAAAAAAAAAAACCCCTTTGTTCAATAACAAAAAGGACCCCACCCCCAAAACCCACCCCACAACATATATATATATATCGCCCCGAAAAACTAAAAAAACCTTCCCCCCCCCCTATTTTTTGAGGCAAGGGATAGAAAAAACAAAAAAGCGGGAAGCGGGGAAAAAAATAAGAAAAAAAACTTTTTAACACAACACACACCCCCAAAAACAAAAAAAAAAAAAAAACAACCAAAACACCCCAAAACACACCAAAAATAAAAAAACAATGGAAAAATATTAACATAAAAACTTGGGAGAGAGAAAAAGAAGGGCGGGGGGGGGAATTTCTTATTTTATGATATAAACAATAAACTTCTTCCAACTGGGGGCAGTCTTTTAAACCCCCATTTTTCCAACGGGGGGACTTTAAGCATCATAACGACTTGTACCCGCGATCCGGGCAATTAAGAAAATAATAACATATGAATATAATTAAGGTTGTTAAAATTTAAATTCTAAAATGATAATTATATTCTATATGTAAAGGAGTATTTCCTATGCTAGAATTATAACTGAATTAACATAAATGATTGAACTCATATATAGGATAATTCATATAAAAATAGAAAAATAAATCACAGAGTTATATGTTCTGTTATGTAAGTCTTTGAATAAATTTAGATAAAATCTATAAAAGAAAAAAGACATTTAAATAAATTGATGAAGATTATAATGATTTGCAATAGAAGGGTACTGATTGTTGAAATAATTTTTAGAGATCAGCCCATTTTAACGATCCGATAATTGATAGAATGTTTTATAAGGTGACTTATAGTATAGTATAAAATGGTATTATATTGGGAATCATATTGAAGTTGTAAACGATTTTAATTATCTAGGGGTTGTTTTTAATTATACAGGTTCTTTTGTTGCTAAGTAGGGAAAGGTTTAAAAGCTATGAGCATTTTATTGAATAAGATAAACAAATTTCATTTAAATCCTCATGTTTCACTACAATTATTTGATGCCTTTCATGGCTCAATACTTAATTATGCATATCCGGTTTGGAGTTTTACTAAATCTAAAGATATAGAAAGGGTACACCTTAAGTTTTGCAAATCAATATTAGGAGTAAAACAATGTGCTAGTAATAATGCTGTGTATGGCAAATTAGGTAGATACCCCTTACATATCAACAGATACGTACAAATCATTAAATTTTGGCTTAACTAAAAAAATTAAAAATGTTACAAAACAACAATTTTTCACCAAAATTAGGTGAAAGACCACATGTTAACATGGAAAAACTAGATTTTGGATAATTCCAAAGTTTTTCATCATTTTTTGTTAAGCTTGTAAATACGGATAATATTATACTGAAAGAAATTTATAGATATACAGTAAGCAATAGTTTGACTGGTGTAAATAATTGGGTTCATATTAAATGAATTTGGCTTTTCTTATGTGTGGGACAACCCATTAAATATCAAAAGTAGTTTCTTTTTATCTGAATTTAAGCAAAGAGTTATTGATTTTAGGCAAAAATGGTATACAGACATAGAAAACAATATCGTACTAAACACTTTGTAGAGTTATATCAAAAAAGACTTTTGTTTGGAACCTTATTTAAGAAATATTTATTGCAAAGGTATATGTATGAATATTTGTAGAATTAGAATATTTGCTCATAACTAAAGGATTGAAACCGGAAGATACGGACGTAATAAAATACAAAGAAATGACAGATTATGTCAATTATGTAACTTACCAGAAATTGAAGATGAATATCATTTTATTTTAGTTTGTCCATGCTATCAATATATACGAGCATTTATCAAGCGTTATTACTATACAGTATTAGACCTTCTATATATAAATTAGTAGATTTACTACGATCAGATAATAAAATATACTTGTAAATTTATGAAAATATATAGATGTAGCCAATAAAAAGAGACAAGAATTGTTACTACATGTACCAGTTGTTAATTCATAACACATTTTGTAATGATAATTGGTTCAACTTATTATCCTTATTATCGTTAAAAAGATACATGTGATACTATACTTTTGACGCCGTTATTTTTCACATCTTTTTTGTTTTTTGGTGTTTTTTTTTCTTTGGAACTTATTATTTCTATGAATGATAATGATGTTGTGATGTTCTTTGTTCCTTTATTTGCAGCTGTCTGTTCTCCGTTTGAAACAAATTTTCTAGAATGTCATCAGTTAAAACTTTTTATGTTCTTCTTATTATTTTTTTTCTTTGCTTTTGTCATGTGACCACATAATTATTATATTTGTAATTATTGTATGTAACGAGATACTGTAAATGTATAAGTTACCGAAATAAAATATTTCTTCTTCTTCTTCTATGACTATTTCAGTACGAATGACTGCTTGTAAGACAGACCCTTTGGCTAATACTCCGTGGAAATTGCATGGAAGTAAATTATCAGCACTTTGTGCTTCAAAAATCTTAAATAAGGGCATGACTTGTGACATGTCCGGGGTCTGTTGTCGATAGCGAAAGCTGCATTATGTGCCTTCACGGGCAGATGGGCCCTCCTTAGACATTGCATAGACTATATAGGATGCATATAATTGGTTAGATATATGTGATACACATCATCGTTTACGATTTAAGTCTTTTTTCTCTATTTTATTTAATAGTTTTATTTGTTTCACAGATAACCTAATGTCATATAATACATGTACATATTTATGACCAACGACATGCCATAGCATTTGATTGGTTTACAAATTTAATTAGTGCACGTGTGCTTATTTATTCTTAATGAAGTAACTTATATGTCCATGTTACCGGGAAATGAATCATCTATATACATGTTGATAAGAGTATATGTAGGTTATTTGTGTTTATGATAATGTGTTTATTGAATAATAATTTGAGTCTGAATTAGTAATTAGTAGTTCCTCTAAATTGTTCGTTATAATTCACTATATAACCGATTACAGTGGATTAGATTATACTAAAGTTCGAGGATTCTTTCTATGAAATAGTTCTAACATCTGAATTGTACTTCATGCTGACTTCGGCAGTATGTCTGCGACAAAAAAAGCCTACAGCGTCTCGTAGAGCATTGATAAAACGGCCCTAGAAAGGTGGGAAGCGGTTTGTGTTCAGAGAGTGTTATCAGAGGAGTGGGAGGCGGTTTGTGCGTACCTACTTCCCGAGGGTGTTATCAGAGGAGGTGGGGCGGTTTGTGCGTACCTACTTCCCGAGGGTGTTATCAGAGGAGGTGGGGCGGTTTGTGCGTACCTACTTCCCGAGGGTGTTATCAGAGGAGGTGGGGCGGTCTGTCCGTACCTACTTCCCGAGGGTGTTATCAGAGGAGGTGGGGCGGTTTGTGCGTACCTACTTCCCGAGGGTGTTATCAGAGGAGGTGGGGCGGTTTGTGCGTACCTACTTCCCGAGGGGGTTATTAGAGGTGGTGGGCGGTTTGTGCGTACCTACTTCCCGAGGGTGGTACCAGGGGAGGTGCGGACGGTTTATATGTGTTCCTTCTTCCCGAGGGTGTTATCAGAGGAGGTGAGGCGGTTTGTGCGTACCTACTTCCGGAGGTTGTTATCAGAGGAGGTGCGGACGGTTTATGTGTACCTTCTTCCCAAGGGTGTTATCAGAGGAGGTGGGGGTGGTTTGTGCGTAAAGTCAACTTCTTTATAATCTCTCTCGCCTGTAATTAGTTCTTCTTACTAATTGTTCTTAAAAATGATTCTTTGAAGTTTGCCTAAATTTGTTTTAACTGAATAAAATTAAGCCTCTGGGTGAAGTACAGATGTTTGTTTAATACAGATTGGATATACATGTATATGTTTAACTTCAGACTCTTTTACTCTTGTTCATCAATCACTGAACATGTAACGTTTAGTAGTTACAAATAGAAACGATTGGCACCTTGGCTTTCCATATTCAATTTCAGACTAAAACCGTCTGTAAGTCTTGCAAAATAACCATGTTTTCATTAATAAACCTCAATTTTACTCGCCTGTGGTGACTCAAATATTTAAACTTGTCTGATTTGTTAATCCTTCTTTGGGGGTTTCAATAACAGTACCTGTATACATTGACGGTACCATCACACAGTATTTTTATAAGATCATAGCCGAACGAAATAAGATTATCTGCTTTGTTGGATTAAAGTGGGAACTTGAAAACCTCAGCACGCAGTTAACGTTCCTAACTGCTGTTCAGCTGAATATTCTTAATATCAACATTTACTCAACTTGTTGAAAAATATTGACATTATGTACATTTTGAGAATATTACGCATGTCGGATGACTAATTTGAATTTCAAAATGACTCAACGTTTCTTTACTATGATTTTATGTATTTTATCATCGGATACATGTTTTGTATTATAATTATGTTTAATAAAATTATGTTTAATAAAATGCGAAAATGTAACAATGCTAAAAAGCGAAAATGCAACAATGCGAAAACGTAACAACGCGAAAAAGCGAAGTAGCAACAATGCGAAAATGTAATAATGCGAAAAAGCGAAAATGCGAAGAATCGACAAATTATACTTGTAAGTGTTTTCGCATTTTTGTATTTTGGACCAGAAAAAAGCGTGTGTTTTTTCGTTTTCTTTGTCTCTAAAATCCGAAAAAAGCGAAGACACGAAGAGACGACAAAGACCAACTATGCCGTTCCTTCGTGTTTTCCCATTTTCGCATTTTGAGGCGAAGAAGCGAAAATACTACATAGCGTAAATCAGCCCCCATAGATTAGCCTTTTTGCCACCAGTATAGAGCCAGTCCACTGCTAACGATGTTGTTTGTATTTTGTATTAAAATCCCTTAAACTTTGAATGGACAGTTCCATATTAGAAGCAGGGCAAATCCATTTAACAATTTACAGCAGGTAATCTTTATTTTACAATTATAACAAAATCTGATAGAATCATTAAATAGTAATTCATGTATAAAAAGAGTATTAGAATTACCTGTAAATAGCATTTTTCTATTGAATGTATATGGCAACTGTTTGCAAAGAATAATAATAGTTATAGATATATAAGGAATGTAAAACTTTAAACGAATTGCTGGAAAAATATTTATCACTATTTTACAGAAAATAAAGTTGCTTCAGATTGGCAAAACGTGTATGTTACTTTTGAAGGAGAAGTAAAAACAAGAATACGACGGTGCAAGTCAATTCGGCTCAGTGGCAACTCGGCTCCAAATCAACCCGACTCGAAGTCAACCCGGCTCCAAATCAACTCGGCTCCAAGTCAACATGGCTCAAAGTCAACCCGGCTCCAAGTCAACCTGGAGACTTCGTTACAAGATCCTCGTTATCTGTCCTCGGTTTAAGGTGCTAGTGGAAGGGTTTTTTCTTTCTTTTTAACGATGAAACGACGATCTCAGTATGATTACAATAATAAAATTGGCATCAGTCCAAATGACGTTAAATATTTGACCTTAAATCATTTTTTGCTACTAACGCAATGACTACCATACGGCAATTTCGTATGAAAATTAGCAGCAAAATGTTATAAAGTGAGTCTGAACAGTTTTAGGAGACAAAGTCACTGACAACATAGCCTTCAAGCCTGTAGTAAAAAAATGCTGGTGGATTTGAAAGAACCGTTGCTTATGAGGGGGGGGGGGGGGGGAGGGGGGATAAGCCGCTAAACAGAAAATCTTCAATTATATTTTAGGGATATTCTTAGCAATAGAGCGTTTAGACACCCAACATATTGCTTTAACTCTGCCAATTGTGTCAATACAAGGTCTTCTGACTTTGACTATCAAATTTATATATTTATTAGAATAAGAAATTATGGTCTTTTACCTACTTCGTTAAATCAACGTCAATTTCCAAGCAATAGGGATTTTACAATCATTCCATTCAGTTAAGCAACTGCACACGAAAAAAATGATAAAAGAGACATTAATGTAAGTGAACTTTGACAATTTCGTTAACTGACCAACAGAACAACAAGTTTGGTCAAAATTGACACGAACTTCCGGTTTCCAAGGTGTTTATTGGTGAAGGTGAAGGCAACAAGCATAACATAATTGTTCTTTATGGCAATTTATTTATCACTCGTTTCACACAGCAGTTCTACAACGACATTTTCTAAGTACAGGTACATGCATAATTGTAAAATATCGTCTGAGAATATTGTATAAGTACAAAAATACAAATCTGCAAATGGTTCGAATTATTGGCCTGGAAAATTCGCCGCTTTGTTCATTGGTCCGCTGTTTGGTAAACATATCTTATCAAGTTTCAGGTCGCTACTTATTGTGGTATTTTCGGCATTGTTGCGATCCATTTTTGTATCCTGGCATCAGATTTTACGACATCCGCGTGTTTTTTTATGTCTGGTGCTGATGAAAATAATCCCGGAAAATTTGTCTCACATTGATCGAATATATTATATATTTGTATGTCGGCCAGAGAGATCTTTAATAAAAGAAAATAAAACAAATGTTTGTTATCATTATTATGTAAAAGATTAACAACTGGTAGGCTTATCGGATTGAAAAACAGCCCGGAAACATTCAAAATATTTTCATTTCATCATTTGGCATAAAAAGTATTAAACAAGAACATGTTTGGTAAACGCAAATATCCCCTACTTGTAACAATTAGAGGAAGAAAATAGATAAGATAAATGTTAAGAAATCTTTTTTGAGCACCCCTGACACACTGACACTTAAAATTCCTTCCAAAGGAAGAAGACAATGCAAGATATCATCCCACCAAACACGAAAAACATCAGTCAATAAATAAAGGCTGAAAAATCAAATATTTAGAAAGCTATTATTGTCACCTAAGACCTTGACCCACTGACCCAATCTCAATCTCAATTCAAAGGAAAAAGACCATGCAAATTATCTTACTACAAAATATGAAAGACATCTGTAAATGAATAAAGCCTGTAGGGGCAAAAGTGATAAAAATTTATTTTAGCACTAAGGACCTTGACCCGGAGTCATTAAGAGGTAAAATATTTCTTAATTTATGTTCCTACCATACCAAAATACATCTGTCAAAAGAAGAAATGTTACACACGTGAAAGTGTTAAAATATATTTTTGGTATTCGTGACCTTGACCTTGACCCAATGACCCCTTACTTAACCTAAAGGAAGGAGATTTCCCAAGGCATTTCAGTGTCTTAAACATGAAAGGCATCAACTTAAAACTAAATGGTGCATAATTAAAAATATACATTTACTTTTTTTAAACCAGTGACCTCGACCCATTTCTCCATAAAAAAGAGAGAACCATTAAAGATATATACCCTTTAAAAATGCAAATATTAGGAGACATTTTTAATATAAATCCATCTATGCAAAATTGGTTAAACATAAAGGGTATTGACCTTCCATGGCGTTTTTTTTTCCACATAGATGAGAAATGAACTCGCTATACTCATACAGACAGTCTTACCAAATGACGGTGTTTGCCGACTTTATGCGAGCGAGTATTTTCTCGGTTGAATACGTTCATTACGACAAACGTCTCACATTGATTTGATTGGCTTCTCTAAGTACAAACGTAAAGGGGGACCACTGCGTCAGAGTTTGTCATTATAATTGCTGTTTACAAATTATAATAGTGTACGTACCTTTTTACCAATAATAAAACCGTTCTCGCCGAGCTGTGAACGAAGTTTGATGTAGTCATTGAGTTTGGGGGCATTTTCTGTGGTCAACTTTTGTTTTAGCTCTTCCTATGAAAATTATAATAATCAGTTAAAATATTTATGCTGTCTTTCAAGAAAAATAACAATGGTCTTCCTGTAGTTGAAATCAAAATGTTCAAGGTGAGCTTCAAAATTAAAATTGTCAAACACATTATCTTAAGACGTTATCAACTAAGTTTCATGAAATACTCTAAGAATATACTGAAATTTTAAGCAGAACAAAATGAAAGCTCGAATAATTCACCTATAAGAGTGACAATTATCTTGACCTGGAGTGGCTGCAGTATGCATTATGTATATTCCGTCTCAATATGTTTAGAATTTGACCTAGTATCATAAATATCTTTCTAGGGTTGTCAGAGATAGGAGCAAACATATAGTGATTACTCGAGTTTTTACCATCAAGTCTGAACATGATTATATAGAGGATATTTGTTGAGTTCAGTGTAAGATCGGAATATATTTCACCGAGTGAGCACGAAAAGGTATATTTTACGCGTGGCGCAGCATGAACTTTTGGTGTTCACAAGGTGAAATATATTTAAATCTTACACTAAACTAAACAAATTTTCTTTTTAATAATATGCAAAGAAACGTTTTAAAAAGACATTAAACCTAATACTGAATGAAAAGCGCGCCAAATAATAATACAACGTGACGTCATTTACGACGTCACGTCATTAAGTTCGTTCCCAGTACTGTGCACGCTAGTATTTCACTGAAACACCCTTAGGGGCTTAAATCAAAACATAGATAATTTCACTGTTTAAAACAGTGAAAATATCAGTTTTATATCACTGATATATTTCTTTAAACCACCGAAAAGCATGTGCTTACTTTCTTCAAATCATTTCATTGTGGTAAACTATTAAAATCCGTGTAAGATCCTGAAGTTATGTACAGCGAAAACTAGACAAACAGACAGACGGACGTTCTTTTCAGACCTACACTATGATGTTATTTCTTTCATATTCTTTGATCTTGCTAGCAACAATCATCATCATCATCCTCATCATCATTATCATCATCATCATTGTTAATGCATTTAACTGCTTTGGCATTTACCTTCGCTTTTTCATCCTTTTCATAGAAAAGTTTAAAGACTTCTTTCAGGAAGTCGGCAATGCATTCATATACTTCGTCTATCAGAAGTTCCTCCTCGGGGGATGCTCCCAACAATCCTAAATCATAAAAGAATACACTTGTCTGTAAACTACACGTAATAAATAAAACTATAATTTTGAATGATATTAAGAGGAATTTTTTTTTAAGAAGTAAAAGCCTTTTATTTGCAAAATATTGAAGATAGAAGATAAACGCTTTTCATTTGTGTATTATGGACAATGTATATATAGAATAAGTCATAACAAGTATAGATTAGGGACATTTGTACCCATATTCTATTCAGGATCATTACTATCATTGTGTTAAACTAAACATTGTAGAAATGTTTGTGATAAGAAGTTTTGTAACAAAATACTTTCTTTTTTTATGCTGCATGTAACAAGATTTCCAGGTATCACAGTTCGAAACGTCATACTTATGACAGCAGCATTGACCGTGATCAGTCGGCATGTTTGATCAGTGAGATCGTACTCCAGACAGACTGACTGACTGACTGACTGACTGATTGATAAGCGTTGGATATGATAACATTTAAAACATTAAAAACTCGTTATTGGGTGTAAGATAGTTCAAATTTATGTCAAACAACTGATAGGCCTACCAAATTTTCGTGCCAAATATCTGGCACAAGCTGCAGACTGACCATACACAGTACCATTCACAGTGAGTAGTGGCATCTGCTTTGTAGGCGACGCTGTAATTCAAACATAATATATCGCACATATTATTGCTGTATGAAGACAAAGAATATTGGCTGCTGCTAAAGCCTCGGTCTCACTTACTCCCGGCAGAGCCCAGGACCATCCCGGTAAGTTACCGGGATGATCCGGGACGATCCGGGATGAAATTATTGTTGCGGTCACACTTACCCCGGCAGCACTACGGTAGTTCCCTACTAACCACCCAGGATGCGCTCCGGATCATCCAGGCAGAGCCCAGGTGTAGCTACAGTTCATGCCGGTGCTTCCCCGGTCGTTCCCGGATGACGCCGGAAGAGCCCCGGTTGACCCAGGCAGATCCCCGGTCGATCCAGGCAGAGCTCCGGCAGAGCCCAGGACGATCCAGGCAGAGCCCCGGTAGAACCCCGGTGGATTGAAAACGCCCGAAAATGATAACTTTGATACATAATTTTTATTTAATATAATATCTATTGTTCCAGAATAGTAATTCATGATGATTTTCTGAAAAATCCTTATGCCATACTGGATAGAAGGGAAATGGGAAGGCTTTTAATACAAACAAGTGCAATCATCAAAAATTGTCCTTATTTTTTTTAAATGATCTGGGCTTTGCCGGGGCTCTACCGGGGCTCTACCGGGATCAACCGTAGCTCTACCTTTATCCTCCGGGGCTCTGCCTGTAGTTACCGGGGCTCTGCAGGCATATACCGGGGCTCTACCGTAGCTCTACCGTAGCTCTACCGGCTATATCATACCCCGGATCATCCCCGGTTTGTGCCGGCAGAGCTACGGTGCTTTCCCGGTATCACCCCGGTCGTTCCCGGCAGAGCTAAGGAGGATGCCGGCAAAGCTATACCTTCCCGGATCATCCCGGACCACCCCGGTGATATTAAATATTTTATTCCATCCGGGGTCGAATGCCGGATGTTCCCGGATCATCCAGGACGTTGCCGGCAGAGTTACGGATGTACCCCGGTTGTTCCCGGTCGTTCCCGGATCACCCCGGACGTCTACCGGGGCTCTGCCGGGATGTAAGTGAGACTGTAGCTTAAAACATAGTAGAAGTAACAAATAGGCATGTCTTGATTTGTTAGAAGAAAAAAAAAATTACTAACCATCGATTTGGAACGTTTTTGTGCGTCGTATTGTCGCTAGCGATAACACAACAAAGCGCTGTCGGACATTCGTCGTGTCTTTCTTTCGCTAAAGATGCACGCAAAACGGCGCGTAGTTATGCGACGTGTTGTCGCGGTGTCACATTGTTGCTCGGCTCAAATCGAAGGATTGGCGATAGGGCAAAACGACATCGCGAGCCAACGCGCCGTTTGGCTAGCTTCGTTGGAGACAGGACGAAAGGCGATAGAACGACAGCACGCCGTTTGGCGTGCTTCGCTAGCGACAAGACGGTAAGACGATAACGATTGAGGTTGTGTTGTGGGCTCGCTATCGACAACGCAAAGCGCAAAGTGTTCCAAATCAGGCTCAGCCAACATAAAGATGGCAGGACTCTGATATATGGATTACCAAAGTGCAAAAAGTTCGATTCAAACACTTTTCGAATTTTTCCCGAATCGAAAATGTGTGCTTTTCAAGAAATAATATATCCCAAACTGTGATATTATTGCTCAATAACATCACTGTCTGGAGTTCGGATGCGGGGAATTATAACACGAGGGCGTAGCCCGAGTGATATAATGATGCGCATCCGAACGACAAACAGTGATGTTATCAAGCAATAAAATCACCGATCTTATATTATTCCGATTCTAACACGACATCAACAAATAAATGCTGCCGTGCATTATAATTAGCTATAATTGCGCCTGCTTTGTTTCCATACTTATTGTCAGCCCGTCAAATTTTTAGTGGTAACGTCACGTGTATAATGATTACGTCACATGTCTAAATATAGAACGTCAAACAGCCATTTTATAGCATAATAACACACACCACACTTTTGATAGGGAAAAACGCGGGTCGTGTTAGCATATGCAACAGTCACTATTGACGTTCTATATTTAGACTTGTGACGTAATCATTATACATGTAACGTAACCAATACAAATATGACGCGCTGAAAATAAGTACGGAAACAAACCAGGCACAATTTAGCTTAATATCAGGTACGGCAACATTTATTTGTTGATCGAAATAATAGATCTATATCCTAATCGGTGATTTTATCGCTTGATAACCTACTGTTTGTCGTTCGGATGCCCATCGAGGGCGTAGATATAATTTCTCGCATCCAAATTCCAAACAGTGATGCTATTGAGCGATAAAATCACTGTTTGGGATATATTATTTCTTAAATAAACCTCGATTTTTGCGTCAAAACAAAACAGGCGCATTGACCCGACTTTGCCGGGAGAGACGGAAGTTAAACTCTAAACTTGGCCGGTTTTCCCAGCTATCACCGGTGCACGGAGTTTGCTACGTGAAATGTCTGCATGAGCCGCCTCATTATTAAGCATTTCTAAACCACCAAGTTTAAATAGGGCATTCCTACATGTGCGAATTTAACTGGTACAGGTCTAAATAATTTTTTCATGTTAAACCAGTTTTATATAATTATATCAATATTATTTTGCGTTACTATCTAAATGTGTACATTTAGATCTACTTGATTCATAACAATGAACAGGATCTTTCAAATAGGATGGTCTTGAGTTTGACCAATTTTACGAAAAAAAAAGATGTCGTGATTACGTAATCTCTTCTATTTGAAAGACCCTGCCTTGGCGCATGAGCCGTAAAGGCATCAATTTTGTACTAAATCTTCATTAACAAAGTATGCTGTATGGTAACAGTTCAATAACGTATGTAGATATCTAAGTCTTTAAATCAATAAAGAGTAATCATTATGGACAAGACTCAAACGTCTGCATGAATGATACGGAATGATCAGCGTTATAGCACTATATATTCTGATTTTCGGGCTAAAAGATCGAACCGAACCACATAGCGCCCGAATTAACAATTAAAATAAAGATAAGCCAATTAACTCTGAATTAACACCGTACGCACGTTCTATATATATAAAAAGTACGCACTTTCTAGATATATAAAAAGGTCACAATTAATTTTGCTGATGATTTAATTGGGATTTAAATTAATACAGGATTAATTGGAGCAGTACCGCTATAGGCCCTTGCAGAAATCATGATCACAAAAAAGACGAGTTTTACATTTTTCATTCACTATCATACATAAATCGGTGTGAAAAGATGAATTAAACCTGTTCAAGTTCATTCTGTTGGGTAAAAAGGCAAGATTTTAGCATTTTATCATTCAAGCGCCTTGTCCGGTATGTACCGGAATACGGTATTTAGTGTGGTGCTCCAATTTATTTTTAGTCTCACTCATTTAATTGTACACATAACGTCACTTACCTTCCTTAACCTTCGCCCACTCGTCTCTGGTCAGCCTCTCATCCTCAAAAGCCTGTTCAGCAATCACTAAAACAAGCCGTATGATTTCTGCGTTTCCTTTACCAGGAAAATAAGACACCTTGTATGTAGCCATGTTTTTGAATGAATGTACACATGTAACTGAATCCACCGACTCGTGTACTAGATTTGATATACTCGCGTACTAGTTTATCCGCAACGATCAATACATGTACAGGTAGGTCATTCAATAGAACATATAAAGGAAGTTTAACTATGCATTAGCGTAGAGACGAAGATTAAAACAATGTTTTGAGGATATATTCAAATTTGAATGAACAATTCTTAATTTTCATACGTATTGCTTTTCGATTAAATATGAAAAATGATTATAACAAAATAAAGAAAGATTTTACCTTGTTTTTGTTCAATAATTCTTTGTAGGCTATTGTGTTGGATAAGCATATCTTAAGGCTTCAACAGACGATAGGATTTAGTTCTACAACACAAATAGAGACAATGTGTACAATTTTCAAAGCTATACAACACTTGAATTCAGACAGTGATTCTGCATTGTATAGGAATCATCTAAGGTGTCCATTAAAAAAGTTCCCTCCCAATTGATTCCTTATATACTTTACTCACTAAATATTTTTTTCTCCATGAAAAACACTTACCGTAGACAAGAAAACATCAAGAGACACAAGCAAAAGTGTCACCAAAACAGTATGAAACAAGAACCAGTTGATGCTCCCCAAGAAGGTTTTAGGCACAGGTGGCAGTATCAGTGTTTGGACACCCCACCCCTATCTGCCCCTGGACCCCTACTACAACCCTGAAAAAAAATTCAACACTCTAAGGCTTACTAAAAGGTACCAAATACAAAACCACCGATGAAATTATATAAAAAAAAAATTTTTCCACTATCAAAATTATAGTTATAGAAAGGTGAAAAGCCTACTATATGTTCATTTTGCCAAACAATGTTGAACACGGGAAATCGTCGTTTCAATGAAACCTACCTACCTACAAACTTTCATGTTAATATCACTTATAATTTTAGAGTAATGTCCCGGACAAAGTTCAAAGCGTCAAAATGAACAAAGGGAAATAACACCAAAATTAGGCAACACAAAGTTACGGTTCTTATACACTGCAAACCTACTCAATGAGATCTATCTATCCGCAAAGTTTCATGTTGTTAACTCTTATAGTTTTAGAGTTATGTCCCGGACAATGTTCAAAGAGTACAAATAAACTAAGGGCAATAATTCAAGTATTTGGCAAAGCAGAGTTACGGTTCTTGAGCACTGCACGCCTACTCAATGAGATCTATTTACCTACAAAGTTTCAAGTTGATACCTCATATAGTTTTAGAGTTATGTCCCGGACAAAGTTCAAAGTGTAAATATAAACAAAGGTAATAATTCAAAGTGTAAAAATAAACAAAGGTAATAATTCAAAAACAAGGCAAGGCAGAGTTACGGTTTTTGTGCACTGCACACCTACTTAATGAGATCTATCTATCTACAAAGTTTCATGTTGATACCGTCTATTGTTTTAGAGTTATGTCCCGGATTAAGTTCGAATCGAAAAATAGACAAAGGGCAATAATTCAAAAATAGGAAAGGCAGAGTTACGGTCCTTGTGCACTGCACACGTACTCAATGAGATCTATCTACCTACAAAATTTCATGTTGATACCTCTTATAGTTTTAGAGTTACGTCCCGGACAAAGTTCAAATAGAAAAATAAACAAAGGGCAATAATTCAAAAATTAGGCAAGGCAGAGTTACGGTTCTTGTGCACTGCACACTTACTTAATGAGATCTATCTACCTAAAGTTTCATGTTGATACCTCTTATTGTTTCAAAGTTATGTCCCGGACAAGAAAAGCGGACAGACGGTTGTTCCAACATTTTGGGTTTAGGGGCTATTTTCTTTGTTATTTTCTTTGTTTTCTTAATGGCTACAAGCCCATAAACCCTTTGAACCTGGAATGAACCTATTGTTCTTCTTTGTTCTCTATACTGTTATGTAGCCCCTAAACCCAAAATGTTTGCTCGGACAGACGGACGGACGGACGGACAAAGCGGCGACTATATGCTCCCCCGAAATTTAACGGGTAGCATAAAAAAACATCCGAGGAACAAAGACGGCGCCGCCTTGGAACGGTCGGCAGCACAAGTACTGCTTGGGAGTTAGCTCTTAGCCCCAACATGTTCCTTTTAAACGAGACATTGTAAATAAAATGAATCCCTGCCAAGCGAAATTCTAACAGTTGTTATGGTTACAAAAGGTGAAATAAGTAGAACATAGACATGATCATGTAAATACATGTAAAAGTAAACCCAATGACCATAACAAAAGTACTCAATGTCTGACACCGGAAGACAGAGCAACAAGAAAGTCACCTGTTCAAGGGCCCGACGAAGCAAGACAGAAGACGAACATTAAGACAATTCAATCCCAAAGGGCTTTAAGAACTGTCCATCATAGAGTCTCCCACTTGGTCCGTCAGATGTAATCAAAAGAGGAAAGCGTAGTGTCAAACTGTAAAAGGGTTGAACACCAAGCATGCAGTATGCCTTAAAATAGTAGGATCATAACCTCTTTTAATAAAACGTTTAATGATTTTAGTAAAAACAGTGGAAGAATTGCCATGACCCAAGATCTTACGAAGTTTGTAAATCACATCGCCATAAAAATCAGGCTGGCTAATCCCTTGTCGCAGAAGTGTTTTCAAATTACTATTGAATTTTGAAATTAAATCAAAATTACGAATAAAGTCTACGAATTCAAGAAATAGTTGCCTTCACACATTAAGATTTGCTTGTACATCTTAGTTTTAATTGGTGTTGTACTTCAATATCCTACCGTCTGTTGTTCATCCGAGCTGTTCTACAGAAATAAGAAACATTCTCCTGTCGCCATCGCTCCCGTCGAAGTTTCTAATTTATGTAGAACAGCTACGGATGAACACTAGGTATATGTTAGTGTTCATCCGAGCTGTTCTACAGAAATTAGAAACTTCGACGGGAGCAATAGCGACAGGAAAATGTTTCTAATTTCTGTAGAACAGCTAAGGATAAATACTAACATACTTAGTGTCTTCATTATTATTTACTTTACTACGTCACTATGCGGTTCTATGAAGTACTATGAAAAATAGAAGTCGACTTTGAACGAAATTCGATATAGTATATCTATTTTTGTTCTTCTATGAGAATTAACGCACATAATTTTGAAGAAATACAGCGTTTTCATTGGATGATAAATAAAGCTGAACACTAAGCATGTTAAGTGTACAACTTTATTTGTCGCTATATTTCTTAAAAATTGTGTGCCTTAATTTTTATAGAAGAACAAAAGTCGATACTATACGTACAGTATCGAATTCCGTTCATGGTCGCCTTCTATTTTTCATAGTACTTCATGGAACCGCGCAGTGACGTAATTAAGTGAAAAATAATGAGACCAAATAAAGCTTGACAACAATCGTAACAACTCGGCAATTTCCTTCAAGTTCGGAATTCTTGAAGTCGCCAGAGGTGTTCCGATTGGCTTGACATTAAAGTATGTTAGCAGGAATTGACAATATCGTCTGTTTATGTTGTCGTGAAATTTCGCACATCGTTAAAACAGCTGTTTGGTCGGTCTGTATGCGGAATATGGACTTGATGACGTCATAATAAATATAAAAGGGCGTATGAAAATGAGGTATAATATTGCATGTTCTCTATGGCACTTTATTATCATTCGTTTCACATAACATTTAGATCTACAACGATATTTTCTAAGTACATGTACAAGTATAATTGTAAATAATCGTCTAAGAATGTTATATTAGTACAAAAATACTAATCTGTAAGAGTTTTGAATTATTGGACTTTAAAATTCGTCGCTTTGTTCATTGATTCGCTGTTTGATAAACATATTTTAAGTTTCAGTTCGTTTCTTATTGTGGCATTTTTGGCATTGTTGCGATCCACTTTTGTATCCTGGCATCAGATTTCACGACATCCGCGTGTTTCTTTATGTCTGGTGCTGATGAAAATAATCCCGGGAAACCTGCCTCACATTGATCCACTATGTTATATAAGTGTATGTCGGCCAGAGAGATCTTTAATAAAAGAAAACACAACAACTGTTTGTAATCTCTATGTTGTTTGTCCATTTGTAAATGGTCCATTAAATGTCACCCCGTAAAGGAGCAAAAACAAATTCCATAAAAGTGAGAACTGGTATATTTATAGTAAATGGCAACAATTCCGACGACTTCCACCAGCAGGCTTTACTAATTTTAGTTTTTAGATGAGATAGTACAAAAATATACATCTGTTAATGAGTCCAGTCAATGAATTACTATTGGGTATTGAACTTGCATGGCGTCAGTTTGAGTTTGTAAGTTTTTTTTTTATAGATGGGAAATGAACTTGCTGTACAGACAATGTTACCATGCAAAAGGTAACATATTGTATGTGAAATGACGGTGTCCGCTGACATATGCAAGTACTTGATCGTTTCAATACGTTCATTGTCAAAGCTAAAATGTCTCTGAATATGATTACAGTTTATAAATTGAACAGTGTACGTACCTTTTTACCAATGATAAAGCCGTTCCCGCCGAGCTTTGATCGAAGTTTGATGTAGTCATTGAGTTTGGGGACATTTTCTGTGATAATCTTTTGTTTAAGCTCTTCCTATGAAAATTATAATAATCAGTTTAAAGATATTCATGCTGTCTTTCAAGAAACAACATTGACTTTTATGTAAGTGAACTTCAAATTTCAAGGTGAGCTTTAAAAATAAAATTGACAAGAAATACGGTATACGAGGTATGACCAAAATGTTCTCGGTCCGACATACTTCTAGCCACTACACTGACATTTACACATGATACGTCGACACTGATATTTTATTGAAGATAACTGCCCGCGTTACATGCTGTTTTACACAGTTTAATTTACATAAAACATACTTTGGTCAGTAGAGAGGTGAGACATTTAGACCAAATGGAGAAAGTTGAAATCAGAGCCACCATGTAATACCTGTGTAAGAAAGGGGATGTCCCCCAAGGAAATCCATAAGACTTCATGGATACACTTGAAAAGTAGTCCACTTACTATAGCATTGCGAAAAAATGGGCTGCTGAATTTAAGAGGGACAGAGAGAGCATTTGATGCGAT